TGATACTTAAATCGGCATGTAATGTGCTCACAGTTGGTTAGTAGTTTTATATTAATGGGGTTGAAAATCATAAAAAAGAAAAAAAAAAAAAAAAAACGGACAAAATTATTCTCTAAGACTTTGCTCTTAATCTTTGATGGGCAAAGATTATGTCCTCTTCAAATGAATTTTCTAGGAGGAAAAGTTTTTATAAGGTTAATACCTTGTGTTACAGAATTAAGGTACATCTCAAAAATTCATTGGAAAAGGCTTTTTTTATTTGGAAAACCACCTAATCAATCATTTTCATGTTGAGATGTGTGAATATGGGAGAATAAAATTTCAATATCCTAAAAATAGTACATCTTGCTAGATGTTTATTTTCAAGATTTTCGTGCATTTATAGATTTGCTTGATTTGAACCATTTTTTTTTTTTTTGGAATTTATAATTTTATAATTAAAAATATAAAATATATTCTCAGGCATCCTAAGAGTTTTTTACCCCAAAATTGTATCTCCAGACAAAGTTTGGAAGTGTGTCCTTCATTGTTTAAGGTTGAGACCTTATGCAAACAATGCCCTTTTGTAAATCTTCGGACTTTAGATGATGCCCTCCCTGTTGAATCAATTTTCTTGGTAAGCCTATCAGGTTTTGGACGCTAGGATTGAATATGAGTGTAGTTTGACTAGGGAAACCCTATCTGCCTTGGAGCTTCTCTATATTTCATTCCCCCTTTTGAATAAGCTGATCTGGCTTTGGATGTTAGAATATGAGTGTAGTTTGATCATAACCCTAAGCACTTTCCAAACCCTATGCTATTAAGGCTTCAAACTCTTCATATTCTTTAGGATAGGTACACATGTATATGATGATGTCTAACGGTTTTCACTCTCTGTATCTGTCTCTTCGTCTGTTCTATCTCTTCCTACTCCTTTTGATACAAAAACGAGATGAGCTTGGTGCTTGATTTGAATATGGCATTGTGTTTTGCTTTCCAGGTAAGTGAGAGTAAATATTTCTATCTGTGATGAAACCCCAACCCCAAATGAATCAATCTGAAACCGAACGCCCCTCTGCAACTATCTCTTCGTGTCGGAAGAAGAAATCAGATGACAGCAGCTTTTTGGAGGACGTGAGGGACCATATCGATGAATTCATTCACGCTTCTATGGATGAGCACAAAACTTGTTTCAAGAAGACTATTCAGAAGATGTTTGGAATGTCCAAGGTAGTTGCTGAGAGGAATTTAGCCACCCAAAAGGAAGTCGAAAGTGTTCTGCCCCTCCAATCCGTTGTGTCAGAGTAGAACTTTTGTTATCAGACATCATGCCTGATTTCTGGAAAAAGAAAGAAGTATATGTTCTCTTGCTTTATTTCTCTTTTGTTTGATTGCAAAAAATTGAATGTACTTGTGTTTTTCCTTGTTAATTCAAAATTTAGAAGGTTTTTTTTCCTGGCCATAGTGGATGCTATTGAAATGTTTTTGTTTGTTTATGTTTTTCATATGCGAAAATAAGTTGCCTTCGGTAACTAAAACTAGTGTATGCTTGGTGATTATAATGAATTCATTGTTTGATATTTTATTTAGGGATGGATTACTATAGGACTCTTCATCTTTGGTACAATGAGGTCATCTTGGTTGTTAGATGTTGGTTTGAGATTTGTCATAATTTTTTTTTTGAACTTGAGTCTATGTAACAAAAGTAAGTTGTATACTTTCTTTCCTTTTTTTAATAATTTGGATGTTTGGCGCGTGCTGCCATCTCTTGGTGGCATTGTCAAATATGTCTAGCCTTTGCCTTTGAGGCTTCAAAATTTTTGGTTTTACGGTGCTTTGAAAAGCGTTTATTCTCAAGATTACTTGATTAATCTTTCAATGCAATTTTTTGAGGTGGAGATGTCCATGGGGAATGAATTTTAATAACAGGGAAATGTATCAAAATATCCGTAAGGGATGAATTATTTTACATTACCCAATTGTTACTATTCCACCTTCCAACTCAAGATCATGGATTTTTTTAATGGGTATTTTAAAATTAAAACAGAAAATATCCGTTAGATGCTAAATTATCCATCAAAGGCTTCAAAATATTTGGCTTTATGGTCCTTAAAAAGTCATTTAATCTCAAGATTGCATGAATAATCTTTCAATACAATTTTTTGAGGTGAGGTCCATGGGGAATGAATTTTAAATAAAAGGGAAATGTATCAAAATATCCATATGAGATGAATTGTTCTACATTACCCATTTGTTACTATTCCAACTTCCAACTCAAAATCATGGATTTAACGAACAAGAGTAATTGTGACTATGTACCAAAAGTAAATGGGTATTTTGAAAATAAAACAGAAGATGTCGGTTAGATGCGAAATTAGTTGAGTCCCTAAATGATATATGGCTTTTTTTTGTTTTTTAATACGATTTTACTTTTATCAATAAATCAAAACAATTATAAAGCAAAGTTATTCACGACTCGTTGAAAAGTTGCATGCAACTCAATACCTATATAATTTAAACCCACGTGGTTTTCATGTGGTCTCCTATATAATCTAGAGAGGAATCTAAAAAAAGTAAATTATTTTTTAATTTTAAAATATTTGTATAGTTTACAATTGAGTCTCATTTTTAAGTGTATATAGTTTTTTTTTATATATACATTGGATTAAGCTCAAATTTAAGAGTGTGTATATTTTTATAATCACAAATCTGTTAAAAATACAAAAAGTAATTTTAAAAAGTAAATATTACTAAATACATTAAAAATTTTATAAGGATATTGTGGTTATTTTTATTATTGATTTTTTTTTTCAGGTGTACAGTTTTGAGAAATATGGATATTCTCAAATGTGGGATTTGAATTTATATATATTTAAACTATACAAGATATGATACTATTTTAAAATGTCAAAAATAAATTATAAATTCACTACGAAATTTTCCTTATTCGAAAATCAAATAAAAACGATGGAGGAAAAATATAAAAAGGAACACTCAATACTAAAGACTATAGGTGTGAATACACGCTTATTTAAGCTTGTGAAACTTAGTGGTCCCTCATTTGTTGCTCGCCACGACGCTTCTCCCCCTCTCTCTCTCTCTTTCTTTCCGTCGAGCTGCTACCATTTAGTCAACGACACCAACACCTCATCCGTATACCTACTACACCCTCCTATGTTCATCATTTCTTAGGATAAATTGACGTCCAACTAATTGAGAGAGACAGCAATTGACACCAAAAGAGAAGACTTTACATTGGCAAAATAAAAATCCAGACATAATTGATAATGGGAACTTAGATGAAGAGAAAAGAGAATCTTAGGCACTCCCACACCAAGTCAAAAAGGACTTTAATTACAATCGACTATAGTTAGGAAGAAGTTTATATAAAGTATTAATTTTTCAACTAAGAAGTAAAGTACACCTCAAAGGCAAGTGAAAAAGGTTGTGTCGATATTGGAAAACTCTAATCGATGGTCTTGAGTCTTGAGATACATGGATAATGAACGAAAAAGAAAAAAAAAAGATATCGTTTTAAAATAAGGCATCTTGTAATATGTTATCTGGATTGTTAATTTTTAATTATTTTCAGTACTTGTAAAACTGCTTGATGTGTATCGTTTTTTTTAGCTTTCAATTTTATAATAGGGTTAAAAAAAAAATTGACCCCACGGTAAGGTTTTTGGCACCACAACGCATCTTCTAAAAAAATTTGAAAATGCAGCTTACTTTTATATTATTTAAGATGGACCGAGCTTTCAATTTCATATTGGGAGAGAAATAGATTTTCATGTCATTGTAAAGTTTTCAGCACCACAATTGCATCTTCCAATAAGAACTGAAAGTGCGTTATTTGATTATTTAATATGAATGCCTTATTTAGACCGCAAATCAATAGTTAAATGTAAATGCGGTATTGCATGTGAGGGAGAGATTGAGAAAGAGAGGAGTGTCACCGTTAGATCATAGATAGAGAAGACGACATAAATGCACGACTCCAAACAAACCACAAAAAAAAACAAATTTGTGGCTCAGGGTGCCCTTTGTATAGAGCCGAGGCTCTAAACAATCAAAGTAGAGCATACTTTCAGATAGTATTGAGAAATGTGGTTTCAATGCTAGAAATCTTTGTGAAAGCCTTAAAATATACTTTCACCTCTAATTATAAAATTTAAAGCTTAAAAAACAGTATATATCATGAAGATTCATGAAAACTTGAAAATCTTGAAAATTGATGGTTCAAAAATGCATTACACGATACACTATTTCCAAAACTTGAAATCCCTTTTTTTTCTATGTCCATGTATCTTGATGTCGAGATGATCAATTTGATGATATTTGGGCATCAAGACAACTTCTAGTGAAATTTATGAGGTGGGCTCCAATTTGATTGTTTAGAACCTCGACTCTATATGAACTTTTCCCTTAAAAAAATAATAGACGAACCCCACAAGAGAAATACCCCTTCTTCTTTTTTTTTTTCGACGATAAATACATTAATATCCATTCAGGAAAACACAAACACCATGTGCACGCAAGCAAGGCGTGCCTTCCACGGTCATTATTTTTCATACCAAACTATTAATTGGGGATATATTATCTGGCTAAAGGATTACGTGCTCCCAAGGGAGCATATTATTCACTCCTCAAGTTAAACCTTATCTACCATATTTTTAGATCCAAAATTTAGGATGTAACATCCTCCAACTTAAAAAAGGAAAAAGAAAAAAAATGTAAACTCTATATGTCTATGAAAATAGTAATACCTTAATATTGAATTGAGAATGTATAAAAATCTGATTGTTTAGAAACTCAAAATCCATTTAGTTTTCTCAAAAATATTCTTCGACTGACTATAAAGTGGATCCCCTCTAAAGTGGGGTTTTTTTTTTTTATCAAGGGAGTATGTTTATATTGTAGTCCCGCGCGATCATGATGTATGCATTCATTTATTTGTTGCTATTTTTGAAGGATAATGTATCAAAGGCAAGGCAAGGCAAGGCACGTTCCTGTCCAAATTCACACCTCGACCTACTATATAAATATTCCACCTATCCGTCAATGGGAAAACCAAGAAAAAGCACAGATTCCTTGTATTTTGGAACCATGGCCGGACCCCCAAAAGTGATTTTCTTGATCCCTCTTCTCTTGTGCTTGTGTGTAGCTCAAGACTTCGATTTCTTCTACTTTGTTCAGCAGGTGAGATTTGGACATAGAGAGAGAATGGATGTCTTTCTTCATAATTTCTGAGAATTGATTACAGAGAGAGAGATGTTTTCTCAAGTTTTTTAGCCTTTGTTAGAGAGAGAATGGATTTTTTTCTTCTAAGGTTGTGAGTCTTGGTTAGAGAGAGAATTTGTCTTTCTTTGAGCCTTGGTTAGAGAGTTTTTTTTTATTTTTCTTCTCCTGGGTTTTTGAGCCTTGATTAGGAAGATAATGGATGTTTTATCTCCTTAGTTTTTGAGAGTTGGTGAGAGAGAGAAGTCATGTTTTTTCTCCCAAGTTTTGAGCCTTGGTTAGAGAGAAGAATACATGTTTTTTGAGCCTTGGTTAGAGAGAGAAGAATGCATGTTAGCTGAGCCTTGATTAGAGAGAGAATGGATTTTTTTTCAATATTTCTCTTGGTTTAGAGGGAATAGGGCTTTCAGAGAGAATGGGTTTTTTTCTTATATTTCTGACCTTTATTTTGGATTTTTTCCCTTATATATTTGTGGGTATTTTTTCTGTGGAGAGAAGATGTTTTTAGTTTCTACTATATTTTCTCGACTCTTGACTCTAGAGAGAGAGAATATTCGAGTCTTGGTTTTGACTAAAAAGGGAGCAGAGTTTTCGATTTTAGAGAGAGAAGTGTGCTTTTTTCCTATATATTGACCACTAAATTTAGGGATTTGGGCATATATTTTTTGCAGTGGCCTGGATCTTATTGCGACACCAAGGCGAGCTGCTGCTACCCAACGACTGGAAAGCCTGCTGCTAACTTTAGCATTCATGGACTCTGGCCGAATTACAATGATGGCTCTTATCCTTCAAACTGTGATCCTGATTCCCAATTTCAACCTTCAGAGGTTTGTCGTTATCTTAGTTCACTACCAATGTCCAAAAACAAGGCCCAGATTCGGGCCTGAGTCCTATATACAGACTCGGTCGACTTTTTACATGCAATCGATCGAGTTTGGCCATCTCAGGGCTAACTCGGACGGACGCGTCTGAGTCGTCGCACCAGATCTATAGAACAATATGTTTGGACTCTCTCTCTCTCTCTCTACATTATGAGAGAATTGCAGGCCTCTCTCTCTCTCTCTACTTATGAGAGAAGTTAGCAGCTCTCTCTCTCTCTCTCTACCATTATGAGAGAATTGCAGGCCTCTCTCTCTCTACCATTATGAGAGAATTGCAGGCCTCTCTCTCTCTTCTCTCTCTCTCTCTCTCTCTCTACCATTGTGATAGATTTGCAAGCCAAGTGTTCATGAGAAACATCCAAGGGAAAGGATATACTATAATCCACATGACCAATGGAAATCCCATGGTCATAAGTTTTATCTCCATTCAATCAATGTAGGGATTGGGAAAAGAGCGCGAGGGATCCATCAATATGACTAACGTCCTATTCTCTCCATCGACCTTCCATCCATTAATTGGATGGTGTCAACATTCATGACCTTATATTTTGGATGGTCATGTAGATCATAGAAATACTTTAGGGCTGGTTTGTTTAGTCACGTTAAAAATTTCCCTCAAGTTAGACACGATGAATATTTTTACGGCAAATTAGTTTGAAAAAAAGAGTACGACGACCAATTGAGGTGAACATATTTCTATACTTACCTGCACGAGGGAATTATTTTATGAAAAGTATTTCACGGGCAAAACAAAACAAACATGCCCTTCTCCTTCTGATCAACAAATGATCATGCTCCACCCATAAACCAATTCTACAAACATGGAATGTGTACTATAAGACTGTTGTCTTTGGTACGAGAATATCGTAATCATCCCTAGCCGTCTAGTGTGTTGCTTTTGGTACGAGACGATCGTAATCATCCTTAGCCGTCTAGTGCGATATCAGGCACCAAGTATTATATTTTCTACGAAACTTGAAAAAATGTTTCTCCAACTTTAAATATAGTTAATGGCACATCCTCAACCGCCTTAATCACGGTTATAGGTAATTGTGAATTTTGTATACCAAAAGTAAATGGGTGTGGTTTCTAAAAGGTTGCAACCTTAAACAATCCAATAAAGATGCACCTCTAAATTTTATCATAACATGTAATTTTAATGTAATAAATTCCTATGATTATCTCAAAATCTATTTTCATATCTAATTAGAAAATTTTAAACTCCAAAAATAGTTAAAATCAAGTAGATCTGTAGACGGTTTAGATAATATGTTGCAAGATGTACCATTTCTAGAACATTCATACATCGATGTCGAGATGATCAATTTGAATGTTTTCCAACATTAAAACTAACCTTTTTCGATGGATATTTTAGGTGCATCTTTAATTATGTGGCAACCTTATACAAACTTTTTTCAAAGTCAAATTGTCTTATTCAAATTCATAATTATCAATTTACTCTATGTAGGTATCAGATTTAATAGGACGGATGCGAAAGGATTGGCCAACATTGGCATGTCCAAGCGGCAATGGGGTGAAATTTTGGACACATGAATGGGTTAAACATGGAACTTGCTCAGAATCAGTCCTGGACCAACACCAATACTTTGAATCTGCTCTCAAACTTAAAGGCAAAGTTAATCTCGTTCAGGCTCTACAGGATGCAGGTAAATTGACAATATCTTTGACGAGTCGGCCAACTCATGAGTTTTGTCTTGATTTCTAGGATATTTAATAACCAAAATACATCTCAAAGCACTTTAAATCCAGTTCTGCTTTAAATCCTTAAATTTGGAGCTTTGAAACAATCCAAATATGATGATCTTCAAATAATTGAAACCATTATTGTCATCATAGCCTTATTTCAACGGTTTAGGGTCGGCAAAATGAATCCTTTTTTTAGCTATTCTACTCTATCAAAGGTCATACTCCTAATAAGATCATAAACCCCCATATCCATCTTCAAACAAAAATATATATCATTTTTAGGGCTTAAAATCATAAATTTATTCACGATTGAGTTGGTCTAAATGATAGACCTCCAAAATTATAGATTCATAATTCATCTCCTAGATGGTCCGTGAGGTAACAAACAGAGGAAAATTATTAAAGTACCGTAATAGATGAACAATTTAACAATTTACCTATATCTTTTGATTTAATTTTAAAAGACCGGTAAAAAGAATCATCGTCTTGAGTTTGAATAGTTGCAAATGGGTAAAATATCATAGTTCATCTCTTACAAGTAGTTTGATAAATTTCCTTTATTTATTTAAATTGCAATCCTATAATGGTATGCTTGAAAAAGAATTAAAAAATAGTGCTTCACATTTTCGTTTACAACAATTTACCTGATCACTACTTACAAACTGGTTATGGGCGAAGGCTTATTTTAACTTGCCTAAGGCCATGACAAAAATGGCCCTTCAAACTTCTAAAGGATCCGAGCTTGCATCTATCGTACTAGAAATTAGCATAGATTATAACCATTAAAGAATTAACATTTTGTGAAAGGATTCGGTTTCTATGCGGCCAAGCCCATGTATGTAGAAATGCGAGCCTCTTAGTAAATCTATTTTTGAGATGGATTTTAAGACTTAATTTTTAAGGATATGTAATCTCTAACATGGAGATCACGAATATGAAAAAATAAATAAATTTTTAAAATCTAGAAATAATAATTCTAATAAAAAAATATTTGGACCATTAGTTTTTATTATTTTTAGAGGGAACACCTACTTCAAGTAAAAAAACAACATACTGCTAAATCAAGAGTTCACCCATGCAAATGGGTTTGAAAAATCAAGTGAAGGGTGCCAATAATTTTTTCAACTTCCTTTTCAGGGGAGTAAATTTGCATTTAGGTTTGTTTTACTATTACCAAAATCATAGGTTTGCAAGCTTGGTATGCCACTATTCATACAGACGTACTCCTTATCTCCAAAATACCCATGAAACACCTGTGCCCTTGAACAAAAAAATCTACTTTTCCTTTATCTCCAATAGATGGGGAGACTTGATGACTATGGCCGCTGAGAGCTTGAGACTATGAAATTTTGGGCTTTCGTGTAAAGGTAAGCAAAATTTTTTCTTTTTGACGACTAAGGCATCCATACAGAGCCTTACCATACCGTCATAAACTTAGCAATTGTTTCATCTTAAGCCATCTACCAATCGTTAAATCAAAGTGCAGTAAGTTTTGCAAAAAACAATTCTATAAAACAAATGCAAATATGATGGACAATCAAACCATGCAGGAATCTACCCGGATGGGAGCACTTACAGTTTAAACAGCATCACGGAAGCCATAAGAGCAGCAACTGGTCATACACCTGGAATAGAGTGCAACAGAGATGAATCAAGAAACCCACAGTTGTATCAGATCTATATGTGTGTTGATACCTCTGGTTCCTCCATTATTGAGTGCCCAAAACTCCCAAGGGGTGGATGTTCTTCACAAGTTGAGTTCCCTTCATTTGGATCTGAGTCTGCATAATGCAAAATTGGCCGAAGATGGACGTTAGAATCAATATTGATCCCCCATGAATTTTTTCTTTCGTAGTTACAAAATGTTTCATGCATTAAAACAAAAACAAATGTGTGGTCTCCAATGCTGAGTGATGATCCTTGAAATCACTTGACGGCCATTGTGTATTTGTGGAGCATGAAATCACATCGTATGAATAAAGTGGCAGTTCTTTGAATTTTTCTCGATCCTTTTCTTAGGAGAAAACATAAAAAGACTCTTTGATTTCCAAGAGATGAGGCAAAGTTATATGGCTCATTATATAATAGTCAAGGATAAAACCCCCATGAAAACCTAGTACTAGAAATTACCTCAATATTCAGGTAATTGGTCCAATAAGCATCAAAATAAACCAGAAGCTTTACTACTACTCCTGAGTTGAAAGAAATGATTCGATCACTAAGTAAGAAATGGTTCCATCACTAAGTTCTCCACTTTATGACGCAATACATTTCAATAGCTGACAGTGTGATGTGCCCAAGGAACTGAATGGCATCAATCATATGTTCACTTCATTATAGTCGTCGATAAGAATAGCACAATCATGTCCGCCATGATCATCATGATACAAACCCTCGAGCTACATTCGTAGGCCATCGAATGTCAATCTTCTCAAAGAGATGATCAGGCCTGTAGTCTTAGGCAAAGCAAACGTAAAATGAGCAGAGTAAGGAGGTGTGGAGAACAAGGAGTGAATACCTCAGTTACATCAAGGTAGATGAACAGCAAGCACGGGTCGGAGATGTTAAATTATAACATAAACATTGTTAAAAGACAGGGAAATACATTAAAACTACCTATCAGATAAAGGAAGTCTATTATAACTCTATGGAATACGGAGAAAAACACAGTCGAGGTCATCACTGCTGAAACACGAGAGTGGGATCCATAAGAGCAAAACATGACCTCAATTGTGTGCCCCACACAGTCCATCATTTCAATGGACAATGATGGCAATGCACAGCGGTTTTTCCATAGGCTATTAGATTACAGTATTCATCACCAGCTGACAAATGAATGTTGATTTTGAATTATCCTTAATAAGGGTATTAACAAGAATACATGTTGAACAATTACATAAAACAGCAAAAGCTGAACTAAGTTACACTCTAAATATCAGAATACAAAGTTACCAACTCATAAAGCAAGCGACCAACAAGAAGTCTCAGCAAAGAAAATGAGAGGATCTAAACTTAATTTCAATAAAACAATATTATTTCAACTAAGCAACGCTGAATAAAAGCAGCATCAAATATTAGGTTTCAAATTCTACATGTAGAAGCATAAATATCTAGGCACCTGTTTGATGCATAATACAAACCAAAAACCAACTTGACACACTTCACGGCCTACTGAAAAAATATGCCTCCGCCAAAATGCATCACGTCAGTCACACAACTTGAGCTCAGAAGTCAATCAAACCCACCATACGTGCAGATCTTTTTTTTTGAAACTGTTAACTGTATTGTATTAGTAATAGAAAGTTACATGTAATAATGGTTCACGAAAAAATAGGTTACCCAAAACAACTGGGAGCCCCATACAAAAACGCTCAAGGGTCCAAAAAATCCCAAATAAAACTATACAATGAATCACGAGTGGGAATAAAAACAAGTAGGCGTTCAGTAGCTCAAAAAGGTCGTTGGAAAGCCCTTTGAAGGGTGGGTTGCTAGAAGCTTCCTCCCTAGCAAGGAGATCAGCATCAGTATTAGCTTCCCTCCATACATGCCTCCACGAGATGCTAAGCGGGCTTGTAATGGGCAAAACTTCATCAAAGAGATGGGCCAATCGCCACGAGCAGGGGCAGAGGCTAAAGCCCAGGGAATGGTGTTCTTGGAGTCACCTTCGATGACCAACGTGTTGCCCCAGCTCGGAATGAATTTTCTGAGGCCAACAAGGAGGGCTAGAGCTTCGGCAAAGGTGGAATTGGCATGGCCGATAGGGAAGGAGAAAGAGAGGAGAATATTGACATTATGAATTCTGAAAATTCCACCAGACGAGCAGCTTTTTGAATTTCATTTTTCATCTTGGTTGCTTTATAGTTATTTCCAATGCATACCCATGGTGTGACTCTTTGATCCTAAAGCATTTGTAACTAAGCATCTGTAACCCATAAAGACATCCAAAACAACTTTCTGGAAAAAGTAAATGCAAACCATGCCATCCACCACTGACCATTCCACCACACACAATACTGAGTCCCTTGATGATACTTTTCCATTTTTCTTGTTTACTTGTCATGGAAAATTTATCAAAATACACCTCACTTTTCAACTAAATAACATTTTACCCTTTCTTACTATTCCAACTACAAATCATGTGCATTTTGACAGGCATTTCGAAATTAAATCAAAACATGTGAGTAAAATGGAAGACAGTTAATATCTTGGGTGTGATTTGACAAATTTCCCTTGTTTTATTGCTCGTTGTACGCTTATACTAATAAACACCCTGATAGAAGACCTCCAATGCATTAAGAAATACAGAATTAGACAAAAATTACATCCATATGAAAGATAGATGCCTCCCAAAAAGACTGTCCCTCAACAAGACCACTACATCCTCTGGAATGCAAAGAAACCTAGTTCATCTGTAAAACAACATGTGAAAAACCCCATAATGGAAATTCTGCCTCCTACACTACAAAAATTGTTATTATCCCTGCTCGTTAAGTATGCCAGCCACATAAATGCAGTCAAACTGATGCATGTGTTTGCTTCTGTACAAATGCCACACCCTTCTCAATGCTGGCCTTCAATTCTGGCTTCAAAGCCTCCAAAGCCTTCTCCTCATAGTCAGTTAGCCCTTGAAGATCAGCAGATATCACAGCCTCAACACCTTTACGCCCAAGCTTAACCCTTGATGCAAAGAAAGGTAGCTCAGTGAGTTCAGACTGAACATAGGAGCACTCAAAAACATCTCCATCTCCATCTAAAGCTCGAAGTGAAGACTCAACAAATCTAGCTGCAGCATAAGCCATCGAAAGAGTTGCAGACCCAGCACCTGCTTTCGCCTCCACAACTTCAGTCCCTGCATTTTGAATCCTCACTGTTAATTCTTCTATCTCTTCCTTAGTAAAGGTAACTGAAGGCTTGGTCTTCGATAGCAAGGGCAAAATGGTAATTCCAGCATGACCCCCAATAACTGGTACATCAACATCGATGAGCCTTAGGTTCTTTTTCTCGGCAACAAATCTATTTGCCCTCACAACATCAAGGGTGGTTACCCCAAACAATTTTTTGGGATCACAAACACCTTTCTGTTTGAGAACCTCAGCTGCAATAGGAACAGTAGAATTGACCGGGTTGCTTATAATGCAAATCAAAGCTTCAGGGCAATTATCAGCAACAGCTTCAATCAATGTCTTGACAATTCCTGCATTGATATTGAAGAGATCATCTCTTGTCATACCAGGCTTTCGAGGCACTCCAGCAGGTATAACAACTAAATCAACACCCTTCAAAGAGTCAGCCAATTCTGAAGGCCCAGTAAAGTCTAAGACCTTAGATGGGGTGTTACAATGGCTGAGGTCAGCTGCAACTCCTTTCACATTGGCTATATCATATAGATGGAGAGAAGAGACCAAGGGTGACATTTTGATCAATAATGATAATGGTTGCCCAATTCCACCTGCTGCTCCAAGAATAGCAACTTTGAACGATGCTTTAGGTTGCAAACTCTTTGAAATGCTCTTGTTTTGGTTTAAATATGTGGGTTTTGATGCTTGAAGAGAAGCAATGGAGCCTTGGCCCAAGAAAGATCGTTCTGATGTCAAGCTTAGACCAGTTGTTGGTCTGAGACCACAGAAGCTCTGAATGGGATTCCATGAATTGTTTCTAGCAACAAAGGGCTTGCTGAATTTGAACCTTGAGCAAGAAATGGTACTATAAGAAGCAACCGATCCCATGGAGAAGCTCGCTGGTGCTGATTTTGCCATTTTTCAATATGAATGGGACTGAGGAAACCAGCCTTACTACCTAACTGCAGATAGAAAAAATGGGAGTTAGTTGTGACTTTGCTGTGTGATCATCATCATCATCAGAATCTTATCCCAACTATTTGGGATCAGCTACACGGAGTCATGTTCGGCCATTCTGCTCAATCAAGGGCAATACCCTCAATGAGACCATAAAATAATCTAAGCATACCATGTTTACGATATATCAACCATTGCATAAACTTGAAGAAAACAACTAATTGCCTCTGTTTCATCAGTAAAAGATAAGGGAATCTGGAAAGAAAGATTACAGACATCAGATATGGGGAGGAAACCGCTAACGGTCAAGAAAAAACAGTTTTAACAAAAAATGCCCTAAGAAATAAATGATAACTTCAGATTTTTTGCTTGGGTTGCTCAAATTGGCCTAATAAGAACTGTAAGGCTTAAATACATGACATACAATTCAAGTTAAGGTTCCACAGAATTTAAAATTAAGTTTTATCTTCGGACCTACTGTGAGAGAAAAAAAGCTACCGAGCAATTAGAATTCAAGCTCATTTCAGCCACATAAGAAACAAACAATATATATTAATGACTTCCTCTTTAAAGTTTAAACTTGCTCACAATTTATAAGACCGGCAACTTCTTTTTTTTTGGGAAAATTTTCTTGAATTTTTTTTAAAAGACCAACAAAAGTCATCCTCAAATTCTACAAGTCATAGTTCATTTGCCCAACAATAAAATAATTGACTGTAACTTAAAAATATAGTTTCCTTTTTGTTGATCTACAACTTAACAAATAGTTCCTCATCAAAACACAGACTTAAAAGGTTTTTCCTTTTTCCATATACTTGTTGTAATGGTTAAGGCCATTTCTTTAATCTCTTTCTCAGAGGCTCACACTACAAAAAACAAATACATAAAAATAAAAATATACAAGAAAATGAAACTCTGTAACATTTCGCAGTTTTCCCAATAAGTTATTTGGCTACAGGCACAATACATCAATAAAAAGGAAAAAAACAAAGTCATTTTCTGATGGAAACCACAGCGCAAAATTTCTCTCTGTAAATGCACAATATACAAATTTTTATCATTCCTACAATTTCACATAGTGTATATATAAAATCACTTATTAGCTAGGCACCAAGTTTCTCACCCTAAATGCACAATATACAATTTCTCTCTCTAAATGCCCAATTCACCTTGAAAAGCATGCATTTTCAGCAAGAAACAGATCTGTTCTGAAAGGAAGTTTTGCATGCAATAAGCTGCAGAGATCTAATATTGAACAGAACCATTTGAATGAAGAAAAATCACTTGATGTCTCAGAGAAATTTGGTAGTAATACACATTAGCTAAAGAAAAGACTGAACTAGGAGAGCGAGGCACCTGGTAAGAAAAGCAGAGCAGATCCCCTCCTTCGCTTTCTCTCTCTAAAAAGGTCAAGTGATCTCGTTTATATCTCTCTACAAATATGCAGCGGGGACGTGACAAAAGACAGATCCTTAATGAGGTGGCTCGAGGCTCAAATGGAAGCGGGTATACATCCTCGTTCGCTGCTCTTGATCTGACGGTGTAGAGAGCGCCATGTAAAGCCCTCTTTCCGATGCGCGACGATTCCAAGATCCGAGTTTCACGAATTACGAAAACAAACAAAGAAACCGAGTTTCACGGTAAAGGCGCCGCGCTTGCACGAATGTTAATGAACTTTTCTATCAATTCACCGAATGAACGCTCGAAACAAATCGATCGTTGGAAGGTACTAATTTTTACCATATCTAATGTGTAAATTAAATTTTTTTTCATAAGATTGATTATGAGGATGAAGAGAATACATTTGTAAAATTTAAAATCATATAAATACCACAAACATAATTTTTTAAAAATGTATTTGCATTATACTATGATACAACCGGTTGTTCTTCTTATTTTTTAGCTTTCCATTTGACTAAATCACACCTCTTAAGGGAGTTTAGTAAAAAAACAAAATATTAAATTTTTTATTTAAAACAAAACAGTATTGAGGAGGACATATGAAAATACAAATGGGGGTATCTATAATTTTCTCTAATTTTAAAAATCATTTTATAGAATGTGACACATATGTAAATCTCCCAAAGAGAGGGACATATGATTTTAAGTGACATTATTATCTATTTTTTATATCAAATTAATTAATAATAATAAAAAAAAGATATAAGACATGAAGGTCAATACATATACAAAAATTGAGAGTTGGTAGGGTTATGCCTACATTATATTGTATCTAACAAAAGAAATAGGGATGCGCTTATCTATATGGAAAATTGTTTCATGCTGGTTGGACTGCATTTCTACATATACGGGCCAAAAAGTATAAAGCATCCATTTTAAATATGGATGCAAATAGGTTTTCCATCTAAAAACAATGGAAACTATATGTTCAAATGCTTTTTTACAAGAATTATTATTTTTAGTTTTAAAATTTTATTTATTTTTTCACATTCATCATGTCCATGTTAGAGATTATATGTCCTTAAAAATTAAGTCTTAAAATCCAACTCAAAAATGGATTTATCAAAAAGCCCATATTTCTACATATATGGGCTTGGCCGCATAGAAACCGGGTCTTATTCACATATAGTTTAGAATAGAAAAATATTCTCTGTATATATAATATATGAAAGTAATATATGAAAGTATAGAAGAGAGAGGCGTGTGATATAAGTATAGAAGAGAGAGGCGTGTGATATTTATAGTATAGAAGAGAGAGGCGTGTGAGAAAAAGGAACGTTGTATCTGCACACTCGTCTTCACGAGAATGATAATAACTTATTTCTTGCATCGTTTTGTTGAGAGACGCGATCTTGCCATAAAAATCGGTATTATGACATCATCAAATCGAGTATTCTCTTGGATGGCATTATACAAATATGGCCTCAGGCTTTTATTCACGTTAAACTTCTTTCATTTTATTAATGTGGGATTTGAGCATAATACTTATTGTGAATAGAAAGCAATATAGTATAGGCTTAGAAAGGTAATATAATATAGATGTTTATTATAAAAGGTAATACACAAGTAGTGTTGTGGTGTAGTTAGTTATCATGTCCGTCTTACACACTAAAAGTCCCTGGTTCGAAGCTGGACAGATAAAACACCTAAAAGGTACCTGAGCAGCATGATTTTTTTATAAATAAAATGTAATACAACAAGTATCATGCATTTCAAACATGCATTTGCATTCCGATTATCGTAAAATTAAATTAGATATGTAAAGGTCATACAATATAGACATGATAGGTCTTTTTCTCTCTCTCATATGTGAATGTCTTTTTCTTCTTTTTTTTAAATGCTTATTGTTATATATATTTTTACTTCGGAATAAATAGTCTAAATATATATATTTTTTATTTTTATAATATGGTGGTCTTTAATATAAATTTAAGAATATTAATTTCAAGATTGGGTTCATACAATGAGGCTATTTAAAACCTCTCTCTCTACTAACAATCTCTTCCACTAAATTTATTCTAGAAACCTAAAAGATTAGATATGTTTAAAATTAAAGTGTTATTTCGAAAATCGATACGCATTCTAATAATTTGTACATTGATAACCAAATATTGTATTTTATTTATTAATTTATTTGTATTGTAAATTATGTAATGTACTATTTTTCTTACAGTTGTCAATAATATATTTTAAATTAGATGATATTATAAGATATTTTGGATTTGTTATTATTTGTATTGTAAAATAATTATAAAATATAAATTAACCACTTCAATTTCAATATATAATATTATAATTAGTTAAGTTGTAATAATTTTGGATTATAGTTAGTTAGGTTGTAATAATTTAAGTGTTTTTTAGTGGAATAGGGTTTTCCACCAATTCGAGATTTTGGTGACCACTTTTTCATCGATTTAATGTATTCTTTATTATAGTCCATGTATGATTATATGCTTCATCTATGATAATTTTATGGTTTTTCTTTTGTGTGATGTAAATTTAATGGTTAACATAAGTTCATACAAGAATGAATCAATATTCGTATATTGATAAAAAAAAAATGAAAGTTAATAATGTAGTACCCCATTTCTTATTGGATTACTAAAAACAACATTTATACTGATTTTTAATAAATTTTTTGGATTTTTTTTATTGCTGAATCCGATTGATTCGGCCAATTCTCGATCTAAACTGCCGATTTATAGATCCGGATGGGTTTTTGGGGTGCCTGATCGAGAACACAGATCCATTTTTTAAACCATTGGTTGAGAGTAAGTGAGAGAGAGAGAGAGAGGGGTGCATATTCATTGAGAGAGAGAGAGAAATTATATATAATATAGCCCCTTTGGGCATAAACAAAAATAGGGTTTTGTTTGTATGCGGTTGTAGCATTGAACAATTAAATTAAGACACACCTCCAAATTTTATCATAACCATAGTTTTGGTATAAAAAATTTGTTAGGATGACTTGAAAATCTAGTCTCATTTTTAATTATGAAATCTTATACTCTAAAAATAGTTCAAATCAAGTAGATTGATAAATATTTAAAATTTTTAAAAATAAATGGTCTACATAATATGTTGCAAAATGCAATATTCTTAAGACTCAAAATCTTTTGGGGACAATCTCTAAAGGGGGTCAATTACCATATGAGGGTCTTTTGCCAAATATCAAGAGGAACACCCCTCACCCACTGCTCTAGTTTTTTTCCTAAGTTGCCTGGTTGGTAGTGCTTTTTAATGGTTTTGTGTTATGTACATGGGCAAGGCCGCAACTGAATGTGGCAAAGTTGCATACAGGGGTCAGGCCAAAGAGGAGAAAGAGGAGTCTTTCATGGGAAGTGGTTATTCGGTTCCAGCTGAAGCAGTCACGTTGACAAAGTTAGGAATATTTTTCGGTCTTCTTTGTTATTAGAAGTTGTTGCTGTTATTTATTATTTATGTTGCACTTGTTGAGGATTTGTGTTATGTTAGCACTTATTTAAATTTGTGTTTTGAATAAATAAAGTATGAGATTAATTACAGCATTGTGGTACTTTACCGGAAGCTAGTGGATTCCCTCGAATCAACCCAACTCTGTTTCTTTCTTTATTTTCTGCGGTCATCACCATAGGGAAGGAAAAAGGTACCTTGTTTGTACCAAAGTGGTATCAGAGCTCAAGGATGGATCAGCGGGTGAAGCAATTGGAAAAAGCAATGCAGTCATTTTCATCTTGTCAAAATGAGATGATAAACAAAATGACTGAAATGTTTAACAAATTGAATAGCCGGATGGACCAAATAGCTGACTAATCCAATCGAGAAAGTGGTGAAAATTCACTTAACATAGCTAATGGAGGACGGGCTATCACCACAGCGAGTTTTCATCATCTTATGCTCCTAAACTAGTGAAATTGGATTTTCCTCGCTTCAATAGCAGAGAAGATCCCACTAGCTAGCTCTGCAGGGCAGAGCAGTTTTTTCAATTTCAGGGGACCCCAATAGCTGATGAAGTATCTTTGGCATCATTTCACCTTGAAGGCGATGCTCAGTTGTGGTTCCAACTGCTGAAACAGGAATCATCCTCCATAACTTGGGACGATTTTAACGAAGCACTCCATTCTCGTTACGGCCCTAGCCATTTCTGTTATTTCTTCGGTGAACTCCACAAACTACAACAAACTGGCTCAGTGCGGGATTACCAAAACCAGTTTGAACAACTTCTATTCAAAGTTGGGTTTCTATCACAAGCTCGACCGGTCAGTTGTTTCATCAGTGGGCTGCACAAATCCATCAGAACCGATGTACAGGCTAAACAACCCACATCTCTATCAGCTGCAATCAGGGTGGCTAGATTGAATGAGGCAAGGAACTTGTCCAAGCGAAGGGCAAACTCACCAGCTCCGAGGCATGGATCTCAGACTGATCAACTGCCCAACCGTTCACCTGCGATACCAGTAAAGAGATTGTCCCCGGCAGAGTTGCAGGAACGTAGAAACAAAGGGCTTTGTTACAATTGTAGCAAAAAATTCAGCCTGAGATATCGTTGCAAAAAGTTGTTTGTTATCGAAGCTTGCTTGGACGAAGCTGAAGGAGACGTTGTCATGGAAGAGGAATTAGCCGAAGACCTTATGGCAGAAAGACCAAAGATATCTCTTCATGCCATCTCCGAAACCCATGCACCTGAAACAATGAAGGTTAAAGGCAAACTAAGACAAGCCATAATTACTATCCTAGTTGATTCTGGTAGTACTCACAATTTTGTGAGTGAGAAATTGGTTGAAAAGGTGGGATTAAAACCAATTTTTGGTGGTCAATTTGAAGTAATGGTGGCATCTAGAGAAAGACTTGCTATCCCAGGTAAGTGTACCAACGTCCAACTTAATCTACAAAGGGTTCCTATCATTGCTGATTTTTATTTACTGCCATTACAAGGCTACGATGTGGTATTGGGGACTCAGTGGCTTCGTACACTGGGGCCAAGTTACATATGAAATTTCACATTGAAAGAAAATATGTGGCATTGCAAAGCTTGTCCGTACCAGATAACAAAGTGGTAAGCCATTCTCAGATGGAACGTTTGACTCGAAAGAAAAAAGAAGGAGCTTTATTACAACTGTTTTCCTTGGGGGCTCGACAACTTCAGACTGCTAGCTCTCCCGTCTCTTCAGATTTGCAGCAGCTTCTTGATAAATACAACGGAGTGTTCACTAAACCTAAGAGCCTACCACCTCCACGCATCCAAGCTCACAAAATTCCTCTACTGTCGGGACAAGGCCCAGGTTGTCTAAAACCATATCGGTATCCACATCATCAAAAGGCCGAAATTGAAAAATTAGTATCAGAGATGCTATCTTCGGAAGTGATTCATCCAAGCAATAGTCCATATTCATCACCCGTCATCTTAGTAAAGAAACATGACGGCTCGTGGCGAATGTGTGTCAACTATAGGGCTTTGAATAAAATTACAATTAAGGATAAAATTCCCATTCCATTGATTGATGAACTTTTGGATGAATTGAATGGCGCGCAATATTTTTCAAAGTTGGATCTTCGCTCAAGTTATCAGCAAATTCATGTGTTTCCAAAGGATATGGAGAAGACAACATTCCGAACACATCACAACCACTATGAATTCATGGTAATGCCCTTTGGTCTCACCAACGCACCTTCTATTTTTCAAGCTCTCATGAACAAGGTATTTAAACAATATTTGAGAAAATCTATCATTGTCTTTTTTGACGACATTTTAGTTTACAACAAGACTTGGGTGGAACATATGAAACACTTAGAGTGTATTCTCTCGATTTTAAAAACCCACCAGTTGTTTGTATAGCTTGAAAAATATCAATTTGGCCAAAGGGAAGTTAAGTACCTTGGCCACATCATAACCAATGCAGGTGTGGCAGTGGACCCTGACAAAATAACTGCTAAGTTGGGATGGCTAAAACCCCATAACGCCTAAAGCCTTACATGGATCCCTGGGGTTGACCGGCTATTACAGAAAATTTATCCAAGATTACGATAAAATATCTGCCACCCTTACTAAGATGCTTAAGAAGAATTCCTTCTTATGGACTCCACAGGCTAAAGAAGTATTCCAACGACTCAAGAAAGCAATGACAGGTGCACCAGTCTTAGCTCTTCCAGATTTTTCAAAAAAAACCATTATTGAATGTGATGCTTCTAGTTCAGGGATTGACGTCGTTTTGATGCAAGAAAGACCCATCACATTCTTTAGTGATGCCTTACAAGGAAAGCAACTCATGTTTTCTACATATGAGAAATAAATCTTGGCCCTTGTATTAGCAGTCCAGAAGTGGCGACCATATCTCCTGAGAAGGCAGTTTATTGTACGCATCGATCACCAAAGCCTCAAGCAGTTGTGGGCTCAGAAAATCACGACGGTAGCACAACAACGATGGCTTTACAAATTGATGGGCTTTGATTTTGTCATAGAATATAAAAGTGGAAAAGAAAATACGGTAGCAAATGCACTTTCAAGAAGGGAAGAAGGAGTAAGCCAAGGATAAATTATAGCCATTTCTTACCCTCTACCTAACTGGGTAGACGCCCTCAAGGAAGAAATGGGGAAAAATCGAACTCTTCAATGGTTAGTACAGCTTGTCAAAGAAGGGGAAGCTGTCGGACCCTGGAAAATCCAAGACGAAATTTTGTTTTTCAAAAATAGAATTTATTTGGCAGACAACTCTCCTTTGGTTGATGCTATAATCAGACAGTTTCATGGAAGCACGCATGAAGGATTTCAAAAAACTCTCCATCGCATCCGATCCAATTTTTACTAGACGGGCATGCATCAAAAGATCAAGGACCACATTAAACAGTGTGACATTTGCCAACGTCACAAGGTAGAGCAACTCACCTTTACTGGACTCCTACAGCCGCTGCCCATACCAAACCAGATTTGGGAAGATATTGCGATGGATTTCATCGATGGGATGCCAAATTCAAAAGGGTCATCTACCATATTGGTGGTAGTAGATTGACTGTCTAAATATGCACACTTTATAACTATAACCAATCCCTATACAATTGTAAGTATTGCTCAAGTTTTCTTTGATCAGGTTTTTCGTTTGCATGGAATGCCTAGGTCAATTGTGTGTGATCGAGATCCGATTTTTATGAGGCTTTTTTGAAAAGAATTGTTTCGATTGAACGGAACAGATTTTAATTTCAGTTCAGCGTATCATCCCTAAACAGATAGAAAAAGTGAAGTAGTGAATCGTACAATGGAAATGTACCTCCGCTGTTTTACTAGTTCTCAACCAAAACACTGGGCCAAGTGGCTAACGTGGGTAGAGTTTTGTTACAATCCCAACTGGCATTCAACCATCAAATGAACACCCTTTGAAGTGGTATATGGGCGAGCCCCACCCACTCTTCTAACCTATGTACCAGGAATAGCCAGGGTCACTGCAATGGAACAATAATTATGTGATTAGACAAGGTTATCAAGGATTTGAAAGAGCAAATCAAAGATGCACAAGCTATGATAAAACGCGTCTACGACAGCAAGCACCAAGAGAGATAATTTTCAATAGGAGATATGGTGTATCTGAAGTTGCAACCGCATCGGCAATTATCTGTGGCCATGAGACAGAATTTGAAACTATCTCCAAAATATTACGGTCCCTTCAAGATCTTACAGTGAATTGGAGCGGTGGCTTACAAATTAGAATTGCCACCCAACTCTCGAATTCGCCCAGTTTTCCATGTTTCTCTCCTTAAAAAGCAACTTGGGATGAATACTATTGTTCAAACTCAAATTCCCTCGATCAGAGAAGGTGATGAGGCGCTGATTGCTAAACCTCAGGCAATACTTGATCGTAAAACAAGAAAGAAGAAACAAGAACTAATGGTCCATTGGCAAGGGTTCTCACCGATAGAAGCCATATGGGAAGAAATGAGTTTTATGAAACAGCAATTTCTAGAACTTGCCCTTGAAGACAAGGGCGAAATTTAAGAGGGGAGGAGTTGTTATGTATATGGGCAAGGCTGTAACTGAACGTGTCAAGGTTGCATACAGGTGTCAGGTCAAAGAATAGAAAGATGAGTCTTTCATGGGAAGTGGTTATTCGGTTCCAACTGAAGCAGTCACGTTGACAAAGTTAGGAATATTTTGTAGCCTTCTTTGTTATTAGCAGTTATTGTTGTTATTTAGGATTTTTGTTGCACTTGTTTAGGAGTTGTTCATGTTGTTTAGGATTTCTATTATGTTGGCACTTATTTAAAGTTGTGTTTTGAATGAATAAAGTATGAGATTAATTACAGCACTATGGTGTTTTACCGGAGGCTAGTGGGTTCCCTTGAATCTACCCAACTCTGTTTCTTTCCTTATTTTCTGCAGTCATCACCATAGGAACGGAAAAATGTACCTTGTATATACCATTTTGATAGCAAGTTCGCTAGCATGGCCGCAGGAATTTCTCTGCCCCACCTCGAAATCCTATGGTGAAACCTGCTAACCTCTCTTCAGGCCATTCTTGTGCAAGTTTTGTGGACCCTGTAATCCTCTCTTCAGGGTCTTTCACCTCTACCATTAATTTGCAGAGCGACTCATCGGCCAACATAGTGGTTCTGAGGGTTCAGAAGTTTTCCATATATTGCCTCCCCCCTGCTCTTACCCCAATTCACGGCCACAAGATCTCGAAATATAATAATGCAGGGGTAGCCCTCCATTGCAGTTCATGACATGAGATAGAATGTTGTTTGATGATATTAGAGAGCCAGTGTTGGTAGAGAGAGATAGGGGAGGGGGAGCAAGGTGAAAATAGACTTATTACAATCGCATGAAAAATCTAGAGAGAAAAAACAATGAAATGACAAAAAATGGGTTGGAAAAAAAGAACTAAAAAAGGGAAATGAGCTTACAAATAAGAGAAAACAATAAAATGGAAAATGGGTCTTACATTTCGGCCTTGGAGAAAGCCATTTATGGGTCCTCAATCTAGGAAGAATTCAAGAAAAGAAAAGCCCATATTTTCCATTGAGATTTCCATTGGGGTTGCAGCAAAGAGCTTAGCAGCGCTATGCAATGTTGCAGCTGTTGACGATGAGGAGCGGACAACAATGGTGGATGGAGGCGATGGCTTTGCTCTTGCTTCTGACGAGGACAAATTCTTCGAGGTTTTGGGGGAGGTGAAGATAGGCAAGAGTAAGAGGAAGGGCCAGAGAATAATAACTTAAGAAGACGCTTAGCTTGTGGTGAGTGCAGGAAAACTAGCCCCGTGACAGGTGTTTCAATTGCCGAGGTTGGAAGTGGTGCTCGTAATATTGGGGCAAATGATTTTCATACGGTAATTGATCCCCCAAAGAATGCCCGTGCGTAATTTTCTCAATCTTTTATTCTTTTTTCATATTCATACATCTCGATGTTGAGATGATCAATTAAAGAGTTTTTCCAACATCAAAACAACCATTTATGATGGATTTTAGAGGTGCACCTTAATTCTAAATTTTAAGTATGAGATTATGTAGTATAGTTACAAGGAAGTCACAATCACTTCTAGCAGCTAGATGTCAAAAATAACAAATCTCTACCTTAGCATGAATTTTAAAAGATATTCTCATCGACCGCCTTCTCCACATGCGTCCTTACATGGGCTCACCTTGCTTTCCTTTACACATAACCTTTTGTAACCAAACGTGATTGAAACTAATTGCCATCAATCTCAAGTGACCCTTCTTTTTTCTTATAAACTTATTTATATCGAATGACTCTCTTGCCTTTAAACAGCTTCATGAGATCCTAGGTACGATTATTCCGAATAGACTTCATTTCTTCATTCGTGACATTACTCCACCTGCTGTTGTCAATATCATGCATAACTTCATTAAAACTGGATGACTCTTGGCTTGTGGCTTGTGGATTTTTCTTATGAACTCATTTTCATCCAATAGCTCTCTTGCCTTTAGACAACTTAACAAGATCTCAGGTACGATTCTTCTAAAGAGACTTCATTTCTTCATTCGTGATATTACTCCACTTGCTATTGTCAATATCATGTATAACTTCCTTAAAAGTGGATGGTTCCTAGCTCATAGCAACTAATAGATAAGCTATCATGTCTATTATTTCACATGGACTTTTTTGCATATAATTTGGCGTATTTTCTATAGATGTCAACTCCACCTCAATTACATTACTATTGCTATTATTTTCTTTTTCTGCACCCTTTCTGAACATGTTTTAACAAGACACACTCATCAAACTTAACATCACAACTAATATTTAACTTAGTCGACTTAGGATCTGAGCAACATAGCTATAGCTCTTAACTTCAACTGTATAACCAAAGAAAATACACTTTTTTTATTTGGGACTCCACTTATTATCCTTCACATGAACATATTATGCATGACAAACAAAAAATTCTTAAATGAAAATAATCAACAGGTTTACTAGACCATAGCTATTGTGGTGTTTTGTAGTCTATTGCAATAAAACTTCATTGCAATTTTTGGATTCTAAAATTTTGAAAATTTGAAACCAAAAATAAAATTTGGAATTTTAAAATATGAAATTGTAGATTTTGGATTTTTCCGTGTTAAAATTTTGAAAATCCAAATATTGCAATTTTCATATTTTTGAAAGTTCTTAAAATTATAAATGTTATTTGCAAAAGAATTTTGGATTTTCAAAATCCAAAAATGTTGGGGGACTCTAAATTGAACTTTTTTAGATGTTTTTAGATGTTGAACATTTAAAAGTTCTAAAACGGATTTTGGAAATCTAAAAATATTCAATTTTGGGATATTGAGAATCCGAAAAGTACAATTTCTGTCAGTTGGCGTAAATGTAAATTTTGGATCTTGAAAATCCAAATGAGCAATTTGGTTATGTTTTAAAAATATCGACAAAATATTGTAATAAAGGACAAAATAGGTAGAGTGGTAATGACATGAAATTTTAGGTGATATTGCAATATTGTGGTGGTGCAAAATTTTAGGTGATATTGAAATTTTAGGTGATGTTACAAACCAATTAGGGCGTACCTCCAAAATTTTTCATAACATGTAAGTTTGGTGTAGATTATCTGAAAATCTATTTTTATATGTAACTATAAAATTTTAAACTCCAACAATAGGTAAAATCAAGTAGGTATATAAACATATGAAAATCTTAAAAATGAATAGTCTAGATAATGTGTTGTAAGATGCACTATTTTTATAACTCAATTTTTTTTTTTTTATATTCATACATCTCGACATCGAGATGATCAATTAGATGGTTTTTTAACATTAAAATAATCTTTTCCCATAAATTTTTGAGGTGCATCTTTCATTTTTAAGATTGTAACCTTATATAAATTTTTTCCTTTTAATAATATTACTCTGTTTCACAAATATTTTGAAATGAAAAACTGTTTCATGCGGACTAGACTGCATTTCGACATATGGGGTTAAGAAAGTGTAAAACATCCATCTTAAAAATGGATGCAAGTAGGTGTTCTATCTAAAATCAGTGGAAACTAATGGTCCAAATGTTTTATAACTAGAATTATTATTTTTAGTTTTTAAATTTATTTAATTTTTAATATTCATGATCTCCATGTTAGAGATTGCATGTCCTTAAAAATTAAGCCTTAAAATCCATCTCAAAATAAATTTATTAAGAGGCCCGTATTTCTACACATACGGGCTTGGCCACATATAAACCGGGTCCGAAATGATATATCACGTGCCCCGCATACAACATGCACCACAAACCAGTTTCACGGGCTCTGAACGGCCCATACGTTGGCCGCGTGTCATATTTTCATCCACTCAAGTTTCAGGTATTTTAAAACTTTATTTTAAATGAAAAGTAAGTTTCCAAATTATCATATTATCTTACATAATGCATTTCAACCGTTCATACCCAAGGATCCGACGGCCGATAAGCCTCTATCCAGATTTCAGCCAGAATAGTATCAAGAACTTAATTGGTCCAATTGCCATCATATATTATCCACACTACAGAGTCTCAAGCTTAGTCCCCTGGCCTCACTCAACGCGCCGGAAAAAAATGGCAACTTCCGGCCTGCAAGCCCAATTCTCGGTCTACTCTAAACGGAAAACCGCCACCCACCCCATCCAAACCGCCTCCTACCAAGCCAAAGCCACCCCCCACCAAACCAAAGCCACCATTTTAGACCATAAAGCCATCTCAACCCTCAAACCCCACCAAAAGCCACTACTCAAACATTTTGCCGGCCTCCGCCCCTCGTCGGAAAACCACCCAACATTGCCAGAGAACCGCCCATCCCCGCCGGAGAACCGGAAGCCGCTTGTGGTGTTCGCTAAAAAATCAGGACGGAAGCTTGAAGGCCGGAACCTCCGTGTGGCTGTAATAGGCGGCGGGCCTGCCGGTGGGTCCGCGGCCGAGACTCTGGCGAGAGGCGGGGTGGAGACAGTTTTGATCGAACGGAAGCTCGACAACTGCAAGCCGTGCGGTGGTGCGATTCCGCTTTGCATGGTTGGAGAATTCGACCTGCCACTCGATATTATCGACCGGAAAGTGACGAAAATGAAGATGATCTCGCCTTCGAATGTCTCGGTAAATATCGGGCAAACATTAAAGCCCCATGAATATATCGGGATGGTGAGGAGAGAGGTTCTTGACTCGTTCTTAAGAGAGAGAGCCGCTAAGGCTGGAGCCCGAATCATTAATGGGTTGTTCCTGAAAATGGACTCGCCCGAGTCTGATGAGGCGCCTTATGTTCTTCACTATATTGAGTATTCAGGTAAGGTTTCTACCGGTGTTTTTAAGTCCGGCGATTTCTGATTCAGGTCGCCGATTAGAATGCATAATCGGTTTGGACGGAACCGTTACATAATCGTATAGGTTTCTCCCCCTCCCCCCAAAATCCCCTCTTATTTATTTATTTATTTATTTTATTTTGTAAAGAGCGAGGTTTTTGTAAGGTTGCAACTTTAAACATTCGCGCACCTCCAAATTTATTATAACATGCAATTTTAATGTAAATTTTTTGTAGAATTATCTGAAAGTCTATTGTCATTTCTAATTATAAAATTTTAAATTTAAAAACTAGTTAAAATTAAGTAGATCTTTAAACATATGGAAATCTTGAAAATGGATGGTCTAGATAATGTGTTGCAAGATGCATTATTTATAAGACTCATAATCTTTTTTCTTTTTTTTTCATATTCATACATCTTGATGTCAAGATGATCTATTAGAGGATTTTTCAACATTAAAGCAACATTCTCCAATAAATTTTAAGTGCATATGTAATTCTACATTTTAAGGTTAAACCTGATATAAACGTTCTCCTTCTTTAAACTTATCACCCTTTTCTTGTTTTTCTTTTTTTTAAAAAAACTTATCATGTGGCTCCCACCTAAATCGTCATCTTATAATCCTCTATTTTAATTTTAATTTTAAATGTTTTTTTAAAAAAATTGGAACACTCATTCAGATTTCAAAACGATCCGAATCGCCGATCCGGACCGGTAGGGGGTGGAAGAGCGGTTATTTTAAACAATGGTTTCTACATTATGGAGTTGGGGGTGATCACGGGAAGTGAGAATGTGGAATCATATAACAGGATTTAAACTAGTGAATATTTTCACAATATTACCTGAATTTTCTTGAAAAAAATCTTCTTTTCTTTTATAAGTGGGGAGACCTTTGATAAATATAGACTGTTTTGGTTGCCAATCAAAGTAGCCCTTTTCAAAATAACGGTTGTTCTCCGTGTCATAAACATTTCAAAGTAGTAACGGTTGTTAGTTGCGACCCACTTTCATGCCCTCTTGAGTTTTAAATAATTTGAATCTTTGGTGATGTTTCAAAAGAACAGTTGGTATCCATTTTCATGCCATTTTAATTGGAAAAATTAGTCTAGATTATAACGGTTATGTAACGGCTGTTGTCCAAAACATAATGGACTGTTTCATATCTGATTCAACTACTGTGCGCCCCTCTGTCATTTAACAACATAAAGCGCTAATTATGATGACAACCGTTATTTCGGCATATAAAATACGTTATTTTGAACAATTTACGTCTATTGAGGCTCAGGCCAGGGAGGTGTGGGAGAGAAGCGCACAGTCGAGGTCGATGCAGTGATTGGCGCTGATGGTGCCAATAGCCGAGTTGCAAAATCCATAGATGCCGGTGACTACGAATTCGCAATTGCATTTCAAGAGCGCATAAAAATACCCGACGATAAAATGGCCTACTACAAGGACTTGGCCGAGATGTATGTCGGCGATGACGTATCTCCCGATTTCTATGGATGGGTCTTCCCCAAATGTGATCATGTGGCAGTGGGGACGGGCACCGTTATCTCGAAACCAGACATAAAGAAGTTTCAGGCAAGTTTCATAAACTTAACGGATCATATTGGTCTTGGGCTGTTATTGTTATATAACGGTAGTTGCAGCCTTTACTTACATGAATAAGAGAGTTGATAATGAATGGGTTTGATATTAAAAATAACAGATATAATGGTTGAAACGGATAAGTCAAAATAACGGGTGATGTATTTTCTTTTTTTTTAACTTCGTAATTTGCATTAGAAAGGATATTGTGGGTTTCTTTTTGAAAAATATAGGAAATAAACGAAATTATATAAATGAGAGAACTATTTTTCTTCAACTTGGGAAAACCATTAAACATTGCTAGACCATTAGAGAAAAACTTGTTATATTAAGGAAAAACCCGTTATTTACTCACCATAGGCATCATATCGCAATAAGCATCCGTCTGTAACAGCCATTGTACCATTACTTGACTGTTTTTCCTACCACTGTTTCAGCTTGCCACTCGAAACCGAGCCAAAGATAAGATAGAAGGTGGTTCTATCATAAGAGTAGAAGCTCACCCGATACCTGAGCACCCGAGACCTCGTCGAGTGAAGGATCGAGTTGCTCTGGTAGGCGACGCGGCCGGCTACGTCACCAAGTGTTCCGGGGAAGGCATCTATTTTGCAGCAAAATCAGGGAGAATGTGTGCCCAAGCTATAGTTGAGGGATCAGAAAATGGGGTTAGATCGGTGGGAGAAGAAGATTTGAGGCGTTATTTGAGTGAGTGGGATAAGACTTATTGGCCCACTTATAAGGTTTTGGACATTTTGCAAAAGGTGTTTTATAGGTCTAATCCTGCTAGAGAGGCTTTTGTTGAGATGTGTGGTGACAAGTATGTTCAAAAGATGACTTTTGATAGTTATTTGTACAAGACTGTGGTGCCTGGTAACCCTTTGGATGATTTGAAGTTGGCTTTTAACACAATTGGGAGTTTGGTGAGAGCAAATGCTCTAAGAAGAGAGATGAGCAAGATCAGTGCGTAAGTTGATATAACTAGGTTAGAGGACAAGAAAGGTTCGGTTTTTTTTTTTTTTTGGTGGTGATGGGTTAAGGAAATCTTTCCTTTGCCCAATTCCAACTTATAATTGCTTCTTATTTTTGTAAAATTTGGATTGTAATGCAAATGCCCATGGAGTTCTTCTATTTATGTTAGGTGTTGGTTTGTACTGCAAGAGGAATGAGTTCCAAGTAATTTGTGAACCCCATTTTAATTAACTTGTCTTATAAAAATTTGTCAATGGACAGCACAGACACCGCCACCTTGCTTCTACAAAGGTAAAATTGCAGCACCCAAAATTCAATTAAGGGGCGTGAACCTTTCTTTTCAATATTTTCAAAGTAAAAATTTAAGGAAACGTCCAAGTTATAGAATGAAATGATTTACTCCGAAGTCCAAACCAATCCACATTAACATGAGTGTGTATAAACAATTGATGCGTCTTATCACACACAGTCCTTGTACTCTCTTAAATAAGCAAGTTAGCAAATGGGAAAGAACAGTGTTTCAAAACCTAGATTCGTGGGGTGGATATGCACCCCATAAATTCATGTCGGATCTTTGGATTGACTATCTGGATTAGTAAATATAATATAAAAATTAAACTAGTGCTTTTATAGGGTGGGGATTCAAGGGTAGCTAAGAAAAATATTATATAAACTTAAAAAAAAAAGAAAACATAAAAGACGCTTTAAGGGAGAAGCCGGCTGGGCTCATACGTTTAGTTGTGATAGATCCCTTATCAAATCAACATTCCAAATTGCGAACCTGGTTTTAAAAGAGAGAGAGAGAGATTGCAAGTCTTTTCCCTTTATTTTTTAGTCATCAAACCAAACAAGTATAAATGCCTCATGAGGCTCTAGGAAGAGCGACTCTTAACAAACCATGCTTTTGAACTCTAACATGGGTACTGCACAACCCCATAAAATTAAAGTGGCAATGGCACTGATGATTCTTTGGGTGTTAGTGAGAAATGGGAGAGTGAGCTGCAAGGTTGTGTTATTTATATTTGGGGACTCTCTCATTGATGTTGGGAACAACAATTATCTGAATGGAACTTTGTCCAAAGCTAATTTCCCTTGGTATGGCATTGACATGGGATATGGGAAGCCAACCGGCCGGTTCACTAATGGCCGCACCGTGGCTGACATTGTGGGTAGGACCTTTTCTGTCTCTCTCTCTCTCTCAATTTGAATAGATTCATTGGACACCTCTCAGTTTTTATACTTTGAAAGATGATGGTATATGTACCATAAGGACAAATTTACTCCGAGAAGTAGTAGACTCATGGTTCACAAGATTGGATGCGGAATAGTTAAAATACGTTATTAGATCTAGTTGGATTAGATTTTAAAAAAAATAAAATAAAAATAATAATTTGAACTTTAATTTGTGAAATATACTAAAAAGTTAATCACTTTTATTTAGTCAAACAAGTCGGTCAAAAGTAACTCATCCAACCAATTAAAACCGGCCAAATATTTGTTTTATCCAATTTTATATGGAATTGAATATTGTTTTGAACCATATGGGCTAAGGTATCAGTTGGTGGTCTGAGCATCGGCTAGACAATCCAATTGGCTCTCAAGAACTATGGTTCATAGTGGTTAAAACCCTACCAAACATCATTTCTTTCAGTAATTTAATGGCAGAGCCGACTTGTGACTCAGGCTTGGAACACTACAGAGTTAGTGTCTGAGCTCGGGTTTTAATTACAGGCTTTTTACAAGTGGTAGAGTTAGTGTCTGAGCTGGGGTTTTAATTACAGGCTTTTTACAAGTGGTAGTACAATGTTGAGAAATTCACTCTCAAAGAGTAGCAGATTCATCGACAAAAGTTTGTAGATTATTTACAAACCCACCAACAGTTTGAATAAATGAATGTGCAAACAAGGTTTTCTAAGATCATGGCGAATGTAACCTTGAGAGCCTAAGTATTGCTCTCTCAATCTCTCTCCTTTTGTAGGTTTGTACAAAGGAACTTCTTTTTTTTTTTTTGAAAGCTAATGAGGGACCTCTCTTTTCTTAAGCCATGTAATTCACAAGCATATTATAGTTCATGATCAAAACGCTGTCATTTTGGTGACAAACTACTAGAAAGAGTTTAGAAGTCGGACTCAGGCTTGCCAAGGGCCCAAGCCTGAGTCACCCCAGTCCTTCTTAGGCGAGTCAAAGTTGGTATGGGCAGTTTTAATATGAAAAATGTAAAACTATGGAAATCTAGAAGATCCCATGGTTTTCCAGTCGATCATCGCCTAGCTCCTGATCTACACCAACTTGAGTGAGTCCCAGTTCGGCTTGGCAATTTCTTAAACATTGCTAATAGTTTTGGGTCTAAGCTATTTTGGTGCTTGTGTTTGCTTACTCTTTGTATTTTGTAGGTGATAAAATGGGTCTCCCTAGACCACCTGCTTTTTTAGATCCATCTTCAACCACTGATGTCATACTGAAAAATGGAGCAAATTATGCGTCAGGTGGAGGTGGGATTCTGAATGAAACTGGAGACTTGTTTGTAAGTACAAGCATGGAATGCCCTATGCACAGACAACATGGTTCATATAAATGTTTTTGTTGTCCAAAAAGATTGAGAAAAGAATTACCATTTATTATTCTATGTTGTGCATTTTATATTAGGGGCAAAGGCTATCTTTCTACAGACAAATTGAGCTATTTCAAGGCACTAGAGAAATGATTGTAAGGAGTATTGGAAGTGATGAGGCAGATGTGTTCTTTAAAAGTGCTCAATTTGTGGTTGCAATAGGGAGCAATGACTTTCTCAACAACTTCTTGCTTCCAATATATGGTGGCTTTTGGACATACAATGCAGATGAATTCATCAACCACTTGCTGGAAACCCTTGAGAAACAGTTAATTGTTAGTGAAATAAATGGCATCCAAACTCTTTCCTCTAAAATTTTATACTTGAAGTTAAGACATCTTTAACTTTTATTTTATTTATTTATTTGCCTGAGTGGAAAGTGGTGGGACTGGAATCCTTGTCAAATTGCAGTTTCACTGTGTTAACCACTAAGCCAATGGTCCCCCACCTTCCCTCCTTCTAATAATTTTGAGCAGAATTATTAGAACCGGACCAGGCGTGCCGGTCCAAGAAGTCGGACCACTGATGGACCCTAAACCAGTTAAGCCTGTGAACAAACCATATTTTGGACACACTTACTTTTGTAGAATCTTTTCAGATATATTTTTGGGTTTTTACTGGTTTCCATTATTCCAACTTATTCGAGGACTGGCTCACTGAACTAGAGAGAATACTTTCTCGTTTTTCTGTCCAGACCGGTTTTCATAAGACTGATTTTGATCAATACATAATCCAAACTCTTTGCTCTATACTCCTATACCTCAAGTTGTGAGGCCCTTGAATCTTTTGAGATTGGAATCGTTTGAATTTATCTCAAAGTGTTCTACTATGTGCCATTTGACTATAGTTTGCATGTTTTTGTTCCTTGCAGGTATTGCATAGCATGGGAGCTAGACAATTGACATTTATTGGTCTTGGGCCTTTGGGTTGCATTCCTCTTGGACGCATCATGAACCTCTTTGGTGGATACCAGGAATATGTGAACAACTTAGTCATCAAATTCAACAATGCAGCTAACCAGCTCTTACAAGGCTTGTCAACACATTTGAGTGACTCAACTATGAGATTTAGTGATGCGTATAGAATGGTATTGGAAATAATTGACAACCCTCAAAAATATGGTAAGCTACATGGATTGTCATCAAACTCAAAAGTAAAATTTTTTTGCTCGATCTTACTGGTAAAGTTTCAAAATATCATATGATTATTTCAATGTTTGAAAGCCTAGTGATTTGGATTGGAATTGCTTGATCCAGATCAGGCTCTGTGGGTGCCTGATTTGAGTATGTGACCCCTAGAATCACTAGATTTCCACCCTTTTTCTTATTTTTATCATTTTATTATTTTTTGCCCAATTCCCACCTATCCTAATCGCCAACCCACTTGATTGAGATAGGCAGAGCCGGTGGCGAGTTCAATTGACTGGTCCGATTTTTAAAACTCCAAATAAGTCAAAGGGTTTATATAAATCGATTTTTTTTTTTTCAAATAAAAAAAAAAGAAAAGGAAAAAAAGGTTAATAGTTTATTAAAGAGATTGTACAAAGGTCAGACAACCCAAGCCTTTAGTTGTAACATTGGACATGTGGAGTGTGTCATTTTTCTGCAATACTTTTGAAAAATATTTTTTCCAACTTTGAGCTTGGTCAATGATATATTTGCAGCTACCCAATTTCACATATGATTATTAGGTGTGAATTTTTTGGTACCAACCAAAGATAAACAAGGCTGGCTTGTCTTCTCCATGTATTCTTTTTATTCGAAGTTGATTATATTTTATCTCATCAAATTTTTTAGTGGGAAAATTTGCAGACCTTCTTGATAGTAAATTTTGAGGGTTTCTTTTAAAAGATAAAAAATTCTCAAAATTTACTTGAAAAGCATAATTCTAATGTTGTGTGAATATAATTAGGGTTTGATGACTCTAGGACTCCATGTTGCACTGTTGGGGTAATTCGACCAACTCTTACGTGTCTTCCAATATCAAGCCTATGCAAAGATAGAACGAAATATGTATTTTGGGACGAGTTTCATCCAACTGATGCAGCTAATGAGATAATCGCTCATCAAATTATGTCAAACATTTTTTAAGAGCTTCTCATTCTCCATTGTATGATTTATAGGCTTGTATAAAGTGTTTTGGGTAGCATATACTATTTCTGTGTAGCCGACCCTAATTAATTAAAAAAAAGCTATGATGATGTACTACTCTTGTGCATGATATATACCGTTGTCCTCTCGAAGGGTTGTTGAATGTAATTAACCAATTTTATATCTATGGATGCAGGCTGGGGAGCTATCCTCCATTGATTTACCAAAAAAAAAAAAGAAAGAACGAAAGAAAGAGGAGAAATATTTCACACGGCCTCATCTTTATTAAGCTGCATTTCAAATCTCTCACGAAATTGGAGTTTTAGAATTGGAAAACTGACAAATCGTTCATCTCGACGTTAACAATCATGGATCTAAAAAAAAAAAATGTTAAAAACTAAAAACAATGTCATGTAAAATGGTTTTTGGACCATCAAGGGTTCATTGATCGACGGGATTAGCAGCATTTTTGGGGCTTAAATTCTATAATCAAAAGATATTTTCAAGCCATCACATGGGTTTCTAGCATCAGATCTGCATTTTTCAGTAGGGTTTGGGTTGCAGCCTGCCAAAATCAAAGGCTGTGGCCCCACGGAAATGCTCTCGAAAACGTTTCATTCCTTAACTGCAATGACCTTATGTGAACCAAAATTTGGTGAGTTATCTTTTTCACCTTGGAATTGAGCAAAAGATTGGTACCATTCGCCATTTAGTTATTTTCATATTCTTTTTCCTTAACTGATTGGGAAAAAGAAAAGAGGAATGCGCGCTAAATAAGAAAGGCAATCCTACTTCTTCTTTTCATTGGACTTTTAGGCATATCTTAACCCCGAAGTCATTTTTTTAGCTTTATGAAGCCTTACATTGAAATGAAAAACTTACAAATCGATCATCTTAACCGTAAAAAAAAAAAAAGGATTCAAACACTAAAAAAATTATCCATTTTTGTAAAACCTTTTTTAGATCTTATATTTTAGTATTCACAAATCAGTTTGACCTAGACCATTTTAGTGCTTCAAATTCTATAGTAAATGGCAAGAATAGATTTGAAGGTCATTACAAAGGTGTTTGAGCTAGATTTCAAGAGGGATTTTGAGGTGCGACTTTACTAAATGAACCCTCGGCCCTACCAAAACCATAAGAAGTATATAGATGTTGTCTTGGGTGTAGATTTTCTCTTGGATTATTTATGCTATCTCTAGAAATCTATAATTTTAATGGAATCTTTCATTTTAAAAGTCACAACCTTTTACTTGTATAAATATAAGATCAAATTACGTGTAAAGCAAGACCAACACTTCTGTATGTGGGTGTGGTTACCATGAGGCCTAGGCCTTGTAAAAAAAAGGGTCCGGTATGCATTACTCAAAAGTTTTTAATATTAATTATTATAGAATGCATATAACGAGATCATTTGTTTTTGACACAAGGAGGTCACAAGCATTATTAACAATTTGGTTTGAAATCGGGTAGTTGAAGATGTGTCATTGTTAGTAATTTCTTTCTTTAGCTACAAGAAAGAGGGATGGTATGCAATGAGGTTTCACAAACACTGCACACTATGCATATAAAAAATCATATGGTTGCGGTGTGCCATTTTTCGCACTAAATTTTTAAAAATATTTCGCATGTTGATCGTGATCAATAATGTAACATTAATACCCAACGGAAAAGTGTTTTATGCATCCAATCCAACATTTGTGAGTCCCCCAAAACGTAAAACCTTCACATTAAAGATAGATGTAAATGGTGGCCCATCAAAAAATAAATAAATTCAAAGGCTTAAATTTTTTGTAAAAGAAATATCATTTTTAGTTTTTTCTCCATACTCGAGATCAGAGATTGTACGCAATGAAACTATTTATCTTTGGTACAAGGCGATCACAATTATTTACATCTATACGATATGAAATCTGATAGCTTGGATGTGTCACAATGTTCGAAAAAGATTTTTTGAACTTTGAGCTTGGTCAATGCAATAAATTCAGCTACCTAATTTTACATCCAATGGTCAAGATTAATTGTGACCACCTTATTTTAAAGATAAATAATCTTATTATATATACTTTTCCTAGATATTATATATACTTTTAAAAATAGGTATTAGGTTCATCTCATGAAGAGGGGACATATCTACATATGGGGGAGCAGACTCATAAAACCGAGCCCACACAAATTCTACATCTATCAAGGGATGATTGTGACCTTAAAATAAAGCTCACGCTTTCCTTAACAAATAAGAAGAGTATCAACCAATAAGGACATGGCTTGATAAGGACATGGCTTGATTAGACTTAGTTATACCGTCAAGAATAATAAATGAGTACATGTAAAATATGATAGATGCCTACCTTCAAATAGTGTCCAGAAATGTAGTTTGGATATTGAAAATCTTTGTCATACTGTATTTATAAAGTTTAAAGCTTCAAAAATAGTGTAAATCGATAGATCTATGAAAACTTGAAAATCTTGAAAATTGATGATCCTAAAATACATTACAAAATACATTATTTCTAAAACGTGAAATCCATATTTTTCGGATGTCTATGCATCTTGATGTCGAGATGATCAATTTGAAGATATTTGAGAATCACGACAACCTCTTCTAGTGAAATGTTTGAGGTAGGCTCAAATTTGATTGTTTAGAGCCCCAGCTCTATATAAACTTTTCCCAAATGGGGATGGCAAGAATTAAGAAGCAAAATATAAAGTCTCCTTTAAAACCCAAAATTAGATTTTGGATCGCCCACCATCAATCAAATGGGCGATCCAAATGAACCAAAACCAATAAAAAATTGGTCAAAACTAAATAAACAAATCTATAAGATTCATGGACATATGGACTCAAATTGCCTACCCACCGAATCCGATATAAGATGACAATTACTGATCTAAACCATCAGTCAAATTGGTGATCCAGATGAGCCAAAAAAAAAAAAGGGTAAAAACTAAATGGGTGCAGTTTGTACAGAGCCTATGCTCTAAACAATCAAATTAGAGCCTACCTTCAAATAGTGTCGAGAAATGTGGTTTTAATGCTGAAAATATTTTTGATGGCCTTAAAATATATTTTATTTTGATGGCCTTAAAATATATTTTATCTTTATTTATAAAGTTTAAAGTTTCAAAAATAGTGTAGATCAAGATATATACGAAAACTTGAAATTTTTTAAAATTGACGGTCCAAAAATGCGCTACAAAATGCACTATTTCCAAAACTTTGAAATCCATTTTTTTTCTCATATCCATGCATCTTGATGTTGAGATGATCATTTTGAATATATTTGGGCATCAAAACAACATCTTTTTTTTTTTTTGACCAATAATAAAAGTTGTTATTGTTTTGAAATCAAAACAACATCTTCTAGTGAAAATTTTGCGGTAGGTTCGAATTTGATTGTTTAGAGCCTCGGCTCTATATAAACCTTTTCCAAACTAAATAAGAAAAATCAATAAAATTTTTGGATATAAGGACTCAAATTGCCCACCTACCAAATCCGATCTAAACCGGCAATTCCTGATCCGAATCTCTAGGTTTTAAAACCTTGCTACGCGCTTTGGTGGCCACGAGCCACGAGCCACGAGCCAAGACAAACGCTGAATGTCAAGTTGTCAACTTAGTAACCAACTAAATATTTAAACGTCTGCCAACCAAACTTTGCACTCTTCCCAATTTAAAGACAAAACAAATGCCAAAACCTCAAATATATTGATCATTTTTCAATGAAGACTATAGGTAACAAGCATAGAAAAGTCCTCCCTTGGTTGGACCGGGCTTAGTTTTGCCTACTTTTGCAACAAGCAAAGCTTGGACTGCACCATATGCTCATATATAAGTAATATATTTTTATTTTGACAATGAAATAATGAATATATTTATAGGATAATTTATTTCCTACTCTAGGTGTCAGAATAAAAATTATATAATAAAGAATATATTTTTAATATTTTTATTTTTTAAAATCCGGTTGAATTGGTTTCTGAACCCGTTTAAATAAGAGTATTTATAAGTCAATTTCTCTCTCATATCTCTCTTCATTTATTCTACAAATTTTGTATACGTGCAGGTGGAATAGGGATGTATAGAGGTTCAAATTTGATCATGGTATATAACTTTGATGTAAAATATTTTTAGAGTTATTTCAAAATCTATTTTTATATTTAATTATAAAATTTTAAATTTTAAAAATGGTTAAAATGAAGTAGATTTATAAACATACGAAAACGAACTGCGTAGATAATATGTTGTAAAATGTACTATTTATGATACTTAAAACGACCTTTTTGAATGAATTTTTGAAGGGGCATTCGACATTATGAGGTAGCTATCCTTAAATAAACTATTTCCATGTTGTAATTCAATTTCTCTCTCTTCATTCATGGTACAAACTAGCCTTAGTTTTCGCGTAGTGTCATTCAGACGTTCCCTCTTGTGGACACAAGGTCAACATTTCTCCTCTTTCTAGGAGCCAAGACGAGGTTTCTAAGTTTTCTCTCTCTAAAACTTCGAGGGCATTAAAGTAATTTTAAGAGAATCAGTTACGGTCCAGTACCGACTGATCGTTTTCCACCCGAGACAGGCGGTGGCCCGCAAAAGAAGCGAAATCTTTTTTCTCATCCTAAACTCTTTCTCACTCAAAACTTAAATTTCTCTTTCTCACTCTAACACTTAAAACTCACTCAAAAACTCTTTCTCTCTCTACTCTTCAGAGAGAGAGAGAGAGAGGAATAAAAAAAACAACAACTGTTTAGCAACGATTGCTCTTGTCCCTTACCGTGGACTCGAAACTGCAAAAAACTAAGCGCGGAGCTTCTCCGTCTTCGAAAGTCTCTCTAACTGACAAATGTCTCTCTCCCGGAAATTTCTCCCTACCTGAAATCTCTCCCTCTCTATCTACTTATTCGGGATAAACATGATCTCATGCTTTTGGTTGACCTCTGGTTCGAATCCTTGTTCCATTCCGCTTCTATCGAGGTCTCTTTTCCTAGCTTCAAGGGTTTATTTGAAGTTATCTTCGTTTTCTGTTTTCCTGATCTAAACGCTGCAGTTTTAAGGGTTTTTGTTCTTGATTAGAATGATCTGAGCAAAAGCTCTGCTTTTTGCTTGACCTGGCAAGTTCAGAGCATTATTGGCTTCAAATGTTGATTCCTTGAAGTAATGGCGGAAGACCTTGAAATGGCTACTTTAATGGAGGATTTTGGCCTAAAAATGAAGCGTTTCTGGCAGTTATTGTACAGGTATGATTTCTCACTTTATCTGAACTCTGAATTTAGGATATTGCCTTTTTGTAAGCATCATTGTGAACATTTTTGTATATAACCTGCATCTTTGATCTACAAGTTTAACAATTTCTGTTTAGTACTCTTTTAGAGCTCAAAGTTGAGAAATGCTGAATATTGACTGCATCTATTGATTTGATCTATCAGAAACCATGATTATGGCCTCTGATTTCTTATTTGAGGGATATTTGAGTATGAAATGTGCTTAATCTGTGACATTGGCTTGCTATGCCTCGTTTTCAAAATCGAACTCTTATAGATCAGTTTTGGTAGTTGATTTACTGGGTATAATTTGCAAGTTATGTTTCAAATCTTCATTGGATATTTTCTGAACTTTCTTTCCCCCTTTGACCTTCTTTTTGTCGCTCCATTTCTTCGTGCCCAGTCTAGTTATCATGTAGTTGACTATATTATGGATTTCCTTAATTATTTGCTTACTGATTCATGAATTAAATTTTTTTATGCTTTTTTATAATTTTAGCTGCTAATCTGTAGCTGCAAATTGGTATTAAACAATACTAAACATAAATTTGTCCATGAACCAGAAATGGATGACATATACATGCATAAACACTCCTTTATTCTTGATCTATTTATCGTTTACACCATAAATATTCATTTTTTTTTGGATCCCCGAACTTTCAGATAGTAGATCTTTTCTGCTACTATTAGTTTGTGCTACTATTAGTGTGCCATTTATGGGTTACGCTGTATGACATTTTGTTTGTGGGCTAAGAGGAAGGCATTCCACCTAAAAACATGTTTCTTTTTAACATGGAGTTGTTATCCATTGGTTCTTTAGCCAGGGCTTGTTGTTTCACTGGAAGATATTATTTGTTCTTGGAACACATTAAACTTTGGCTCATCATGATAAAAATTTGGCATCTCATTCTTTGCCATGAAGATTGCAATTGCTTAGCCAGAGACCGGTTATATGTTTTTGAATGCTGAGATCTATTTCAAATGATGTTCCATGTTCTGAAGTTCATTAGGTTAAAAAACTAGAGGGAATTCATGAGTCTGACCAGCATGCCATTTTCTGGGGAAGTTTTAACATTTGCATGCGAGTCACATTCAATTAATGTTTAGTCAACTATTTTTTTTCTTTGGGTGATTCAGCGGGGAAGACAAGCCCCTACCCGTTTTTTCAATAGATTAGGGAGTTAGCTTTTTTGAAGGTGTCAGTGAGTTGTGTATTGGAAACCACAACGTGGAAACTAGGAATGGGGGTGCTACCTCCTCTACCCAGCCCCTTTACTATGTTTAGTCAACTACAATATAACCATCATTTCCTATGTTGACCTCATTATACCAGAGCATGGTTTGATGAAACTGTTAGTTGTCAATCCTTGTGGTTTAAATCTCAATCTCAAGTTTTTGGGTTACTTAAATTTATGCATTATCTGCCATATTTTTCTGTACAGATTCTCTGATGGGATGCATTCTCTTTCCAAATGTCTTGCTTAGTGGGATCTGATTCTGGTTACATTTTGTTTATGTAGTTACAGGTTCACATAAGCATCATCATAAATCCAGGAATTTGTGATCGAGGGCATCTAGGGGCTCTGGGTAAACAGTGCTAGTTCTGGTTTTGCATGGTTATAAATCTCTCTTATCAGAAAGAAATTGCCATAGAGCTTGCTCGTGTGAAATGCGGGTCCGGATGCTCTTAAGGTTTGTGTCTTAAGGATCCAGTCATAAAGTTCAGAGGAAGGGTGTTTTACACGGTTGTTGAGTGATTGAAGAACCATTTCTATGCAGCATTTTGCAAAGTGGCGATTCACTGATTGCCATTCCTGTGATTGATTGCACCATTGAATCATCATAATCCTGCTTGTTAGGTGTGTTTTGTCCTGCTTCTCCATATATATTTGAGAACTCAATTTGGACCTGGAAAATGGAATGTTCTTACTTCCACAATCATTGGGGGATGCACAATTTGTTCCAAGTTATTTGGAATGTAAAGGAAATCCTTGTGAGATTTATGGTCCGCAATAGAGAAGTGTAATATGAATTTGAAGTTGTCACTCACAAAGAAAAGATGAAGAGGTGGACTGGAGGTTTCGTAATCTGTTTTCTTTTTATTTGTCTGGTGCTGATGTATAGTGTGACACAAACCCGTCTTGATTCCCCCTCATTTTTGGGTTTCTTTTCTAACCACACAACAAAACAACTTCATTTGGAGAATGTTGAGGTTAAGCCGATAGTTCAAAACTCAGATGGTGGCATTCAGGTAGTTTCATCTGATATTTTAGTTTCCAGTCTTTTTGTTAAAAGAAACCTTTCGGAAAGTGAACTATTATCTTTACAAACATGGAATCGTTTAAAGCACCTAACAAGTCATGCGGAGGCTTTGCCCCATGCCATGGAGGCTATTAAAGAAGCTGGGGTTGCATGGGAGAGCCTGATGGTTTCAGCTGAGAAGGAGAGGTTGAATGGAACTGACTTTCGGAAGTCAAAAGAGAAGCAGTGCCCTTATTCTTTGAGTAAGATGAATAGCACAGAACTCGGTGGCAGTGAATTCAAGCTTCAGATCCCCTGTGGCCTTATTGAGGGATCTTCCATTACTATTATTGGTAGTCCAACTGGCGTTCTTGGTAATTTTAAGATCGACTTAACTGGAGCACCACTTCCAGGTGAACCTGACCCCCCAATTATACTGCATTACAATGTCCGACTTCAAGGAGATAAGCTAACAGAAAACCCTGTTATTGTCCAAAACACTTGGACTGTAGCACATGATTGGGGTGCGGAGGAGCGCTGCCCTCCTCCTGGATCTGGTAACTCTGGAAAAGGTATGGATTACTATACATGATCTCAAAGTTTAAGGTTATAATCTCTGTGTGCTTTTTCTTGTTTTCTATAAACACTTGTGGACTTTTTTTGTTTTTGTTTTTGTTTTTTGAGTAGTCCAGTAGGGAAGGGGTCCCCTACCCCTAATGGGAATGGAACTCAAGACGTTATGTTGTGACACCTTGCCACCCTAACCATGTAGTCTTGGGCCCATTCATATAAGCATTTATGGACTGATGTTCTATATTCTTACACCTCTTGATGTCTTGTATCTCTTTTTTTTTCCTTTCTTGGTTTTGTTGTATGCATTTGTGGATTGTATTGATCTTTAATTGCATTAATTTTTCCATCTCATGAATTTGATAGTTTCATATGTACTGGTTGAGAAGTTGATTTTCTACGTGTGGAAAATTTGAAATTTATGGCACATTCACATTTCTACCAGCACAAATGCGATTATCAGAATACATACTTTTCTGATTAATAAAATAGTGTGGTTTAGTATTCACATTTTCTACTCTTGGCCGCAGGTCTATAATTGATTTATGCTTCTGAATATGGGCTTATTTGTCTGATTGTTAAAAATGGCAGATCAAATGCCCCAACGAACTTATGATGTGGCTAGTTAATGAATTTGGTGAAATAGATGATTATATGAATGTAGTCTGTTCTTTTATTAGTTAGTCTAGGTTGAGGGAAAGCCTTTTCCCGTGATTTATCTAAGCTGCATAGACTTCTGAAGTTCCAGTGAAGTTGTAATATGTAATGTGTGCATATTAGTGTACTGATCTGCATGACTCAGAACATTTGAGTTCATGCAGGACTAGACTGGCTCCAGATTTTCAAGCCATAGGCTGGAAGTTTATATGCAGTTGACCTTCAGGTAATTTTTTTTCAAGAATGGACTAAAAAGGATTGTAACCCGGTGCTGGTCCTGCCTAAGCAGGCTCCTAGGAGGGATGGGCTGGAAACGGACCTAACCTCTGGCTTATGCTCAAAGTGGCCGCTCTCAGGACTCGAACCTGCGCTCTTGCGCTGGCTACTTGAGCCTTTTACCGTCACACCAAGTGACGGCCCGAGCCTTTTCAAGAATGGACTATGAGGATTAAGTGCAGCGAATGCATGGACACATGTCACAACAGTGATTAATTTAAATCAGTTAGTATGCCTTAACTAGCTTGTTAACTACCAAATATGTCTCATCACATTCTCTCTTATTGATATGAAGAGGTCCGCATCTGGTGTATAAGTTATTGATGGAAAGCTTTTGACTGCATCCACTTTGTTGAGCTTCTTGTTGACCAGAAGCACGTAGGGATTGATTTTAGTTCTGCTCCACCCTGTCATATATTTCTCAAGGTCTAAGGCTTTCCATCATGAAATTGGCATTTGCTTGTTTTTTTAGTGAAAGAAAAGTTGACCAGCTTGTACCAGCATAAACTTTGAAATAGAATAAATGCAAATGTTAACAAGCTGGTATATGTGTAGGTCCAATGCTTATGCTGCCTGTGTTGCAAAGATCAGCTCCTTAACCGACAGAGCACAAGCCTAAATCCTTAAGTGTTTTCTTCTATTAAAAAAACTACGACATATAAAACAATTTTGAAAAGTAAAGTGAATTTTAAAAAGTAAAAAGTAGTTCTGGAGAAGAAAGCTAAGGAGAACGAAGAACTCCTAAATTTCGGTTGGAATGTTTTTATCTTCAAGTAGCTATCTAGCTCCATTAGCAAGGTCCATCAAATGATACTGGTTAAGAGATTTAAAACCAATCATTAATGTGTACCAGAATATTAGAGATTGTGGGCTCCCACATGGTTCTGTTGAACTCTTGTTTGTTAAAAGGTCACACTCAATACAGCAAGGCAGAAGCTGAGCACTGATTGGTGTCAAGTGTAATTAAAGTTTCTTAATGGGCTCATTTGTTTTGGGAGGTGGCTCTCTCAAATTGGATTCAATTGGCAAAGAGAGAACCATTTATCATTTGGAGATTCAATTCTGTCATTGCTGAGCTATTTGAGGTGTCTGTGCCTCTCCAATCTCTTGTTTTCATGGGTTTTGAGAGGCAAATAAGATAAGCCGACTTGCTGGCCAGCAAGGGGAACATGCCATCTCCTATTTTTGGAGACCAACTTTCCAATCCCGGTGGCACTGATTTGTTTCTCCCATTTTTTTTCTCAAGCATTTGTCTTTACATCAAATCCTCTTGGTCTTGTAATCTGGTGGTGGTTGTGATTCATTTGTGATATTGGTATTTTTTGGGGTAGATATTTGTATATGGTATTGATACAGTGATGATTGATAAACAATCAATCATCACTCAATCAATACCATATCACAAATGATGATCGATTGTTTAATCAGATTGTGATATGGTATTGATAGAGTGATGATTCATTGTTATCAGACTGTTGAATTAAATATTCATCTGCTCAGTTCATATTTTTTAGCTTTTCATGTTCTTGTTTATCCCTTTTACTTGCATTTATATCTTTGTAGATTCTCTTTTGTTTCAGTTGATGACTTGGACCAGTGCAATCCAATGGTGGGTAAAGCTGAAAAAAGGAGCTTTGCCATTGGTAAACATTCCAATGTTTCAGAAAGGTCTCACTTGGCTCAAAAGACTGCTAAAAAGAGATTGTATTTTCCCTTCACTCTTGGATTTCCATTTGTTGCAACTCTTCGCTTGGGTTTGGAAGGGATCCATATGACTGTTGATGGAAAGCATATCACTTCTTTTGCATACCGTGATGTAATTACCCTACTAATATATCCTATTGACCAAACCTTTTGAAATACTTCCAGAACAATGTAGAGCTTCTTCTTGCTTATTTCAATGCCATTTTGTTTTTGGATTTTTTTCAGAGTCTGGAGCCGTGGCTGGTCAATGAAGTGAGAATTTCGGGAGACCTGAAGCTAATGTCTGTTTTGGCCAGTGGTTTACCCACATCAGAGGATCTGGAGCATGTGATCGATATAGATACACTTAAGGCAACACCTTTGCCTCCCAAGAAGCAGCTGTCCCTTGTCGTTGGTGTTTTTTCAACTGCAAACAATTTCAAGAGGAGAATGGCTGTTAGGAGGACATGGATGCAGTATGATGCGGTGAAATCAGGAGCTGTGGCTGTGCGTTTCTTTGTTGGTCTTGTGAGTATGCGTATCGATTTTACTTTTGTATTCCTCTTTTATGCCTTTACTCCATTTAGAGGCCCATTGGTGGTGCTTGCTCTACATGGTTTTGATACTTGATTTGTTTTGAATACTATTGGTGGATCTCTTTCTTTCTCCTTTTCTTTTAAGAACACTTCTATTCAATAAAGGAAAAAGTCTATATAAGGTTGCAAACTGCAAATGTAGAATTAAAGATGTGCCTCAAAATTCCATTGGAAAAGGTTGTTTTAATGTTAAAAACCTCTCTAATTGATCATCTCGACATCAAGACGTATGAATATGTAAAAAAAAAAACGATTTTGAGTCCCATAAATAGTTGATCTTGCAACACATTATCTAGATCATTGTTAGAGAAACCAGGCGATCTAACCGCTAACTGCCCGGTTAGATCGGAAATGGCCGGTTCCCATTTTTGGGCGGTTTTGGTGACTGATTGGTATTTAAAAAAATAAAATTCAAAAAAATGTATACAAATTCCCAAAAATAAGGAATTTGGTTCGTAATGTATTTTTTAATATTTTTTACATTATGTTAAAGTTTAAAATTTGTTTTTATCATTAATACTCACGTTAATTAAAAAATTGATTCTTTAAAATCTTCTTTTTTCATTAATTTTCAACTTCATTTGAATGTGTTTTGTTTTAATCATTCTTTATATGCTTTTAATATTTTAGTAGAATTTGTTTTTGTATTTTTATTTTTATTTCTTAAACACTTTTTTGACCACCCGGGACTTGCCCGATTAGAATGGTTGAATCAGCCGGTTTACCGGTTAGGCCGGTTAAACCACTTTCGGACCCATGTCCGATTAACTGATCCGGTTTGATTTTTGCGAACATTGATCTAGATCGTCCATTTTCAAGATTTTCATATGTTTGTAGATCTACTTGATTTTAACCATTTTTGGAGTTTAAAATTCTTTAGGTAGAGATAAAAATGGATTTTCAAATAACCCTAAGAATTTTTACACCAAAATTACATGTTATAATAAAATTTGGAGGTGTGCATTAATTGGATTGTTTAAGGTTGCAACCTTATACAAACCACACCCTTCAATAAATATCCAAGGGAAGTGCAAAGAGGAAAGGAGAAAAATATTATAGACAACCTTTCGTCCATGTGATAACATTTCCCGGAATCTAGTCTGATGGTTTGTATGGTTCTTGTTGAAATCCCTCCATTATCTTATCTCTACTAAGGCTGCAGTTGTTTCTTTTCTTTTTTCTTATCTTTTCCATAGGTGACGTGATTTTATTATATGTTAATTCCGTGCAGCATAAAAACGAGCTGGTGAATATGGAACTATGGGATGAGGCACGCACATATGGGGATACTCAGTTGGTGCCCTTTGTTGATTACTACAGCCTTATAACGTGGAAGACCATTGCCATCTGCATCTATGGGGTAGCTCACATTGAATTTTCTCATTTGAGAATTTTTTTTATTGTTAATGGTTATTTGAGATTTAAGTTTTTAATTGTGATTTTCTTCAATTCCAGACTGAGGTTGTTTCCACCAAGTATGTGATGAAAACAGATGATGATGCATTCGTTCGCATTGATGAAATTCTTGCTTCCTTAAATAGCAGTGGCGTGACAAAGGGGTTGTTGTATGGTCTAATCAACTCGGATTCGAAACCTCACAGGAATCCAGAGAGTAAATGGTATATAAGCCCTGAGGTATTTATGAGGAAGCATTGGCCCTTTTATCTAGCTTCTGACTTTCATTCCTGCTACGACTTCCTCTTTCTCCATTTGCTGTAAAATAAAACCTGCCTTCATTTAATCTACATTGAGCCTTGGTTAATCTTAGATGGTGACCATGTATATTTCCAAATTGGCGTAGACTATCTCTGCCAATGCTTGATTATTTGTTTTCAAACTTCAATTTGTGTCACTTTTTGGGTCCCATGAACTGTGGAGCGCATTACCTCAACCCCTCTGATTATGTACTCTCTCTCTGCCTTCTAAATTTGGCTTTAAAATGGCTGTGTACAATCTCTCTCTCTGCCTTCTACGTTTAGCTTTAAAATGCTTTTATACAATTTAAAGGCGATCTGGTCAATTCATTGGCAGTGACATTTATTGACATTTCATGATATAATTTCCTCTTAAATGAATTTCCTGTTCTTTTAATTAAAGGGTGCAGTTTGTATAGAGCCTAGGCTCTAAACAATCAAATTGGAGCCTACCTTTAAATAGTGTCAAGAAATGTGGTTTCAACACTAAAAATCTTTGTCATAGCCTTAAAATATATTTTCATCTTTATTTATAAAGTTTAAAGCTCCAAAAATGGTGTAGATCGATAGATCTATGGAAACTTGGAAATCTTGAAATTAATGGTAAAAAAATGCATTATAAAATACATTATTTTCAAAACTTAAAATCAATTTTTTTATCATGTCCATGCATCTTGATGTCGAGATGATCAATTTGAGGACTTTTGGGCATCAAAATAATCTCGTCTAGCAAAATTTTTGAGGTAGGCTCTAATGTGATTGTTTAGAGCCTCGGCTCTATATAAACTTCTCCCTTAATTAAAAGAGCTATTATGGTCTTTAGTTTGTATTATTTCTCCTGATTTATATTTACTTTCCTTTCTTGAAGGAGTATAATGAAGAAGCCTATCCTCCATGGGCTCATGGACCTGGCTACATTGTATCTCGTGATGTAGCTGCATCAGTTGTTCATCGTCATAAGAAGGGGCGCCTAAAGGTAAGATGTATTCGTAGTTTCTTTTTAATCTCTCTCTTTCTCCCCCTCTCTCCATTTCTCATTCTGCATACACTTTCTTTTTCATTTGCACGTGGGTGGCTTCCTTCCCATTATATTTGCAAATTTGGGTTTTCTCTCTTATTTTTTATGTCTAAATCGTAGTTATAAAGATTGTGGTCCGATTAATTCTGCTCACCGGTGGGTTGGCATGTTTGGTCTAAAGCAAAAACTTGATTTGGTTGAAAATTTGTAAAATCAATGTCTAACCGGTTTTGACAAGTCAACCCTCCGATTTTGATAGAAGTTTTTTTTCTAATATATTTCATATTTTTAAACTCTTATTCTTAATTTTTATATTTTTTGTAAAATTCTATCCAACTGATTTTGATTGGACCAAACCCGTCATTGATTTTGTAGCTGAACCAATATTAATAATGATGATCTAAATCTCCTTCAAGTACAACATGTCTTAGTGTAGAAAAAATCAAACCGGAATAGTTAATTGGACATGGGGCTGGAAGCGATTCAACTGGCCTACCTGGTAAATCCGTCCGTTTGACTGGCCTAATCGTCCAAGCGTCGGCAGGTCGAAAAAGTGTTAAAAAATAATAAAAAAAAAGAAAATCAGTAAAATATGAAAAGTACACCTAAAGCATGATTAAACAAAATACATCTAAATGAAGTTGAAAATTAATTTAAAAAAAAGCCGTAAGGAATCGATTTGTGCACAGGGGTTGTTTTGAAAATTTTCAAAAAAGATGGGAAAATGTAAAAACTAAGTATTAATGACCAAAACAAATTCGAGTGTTTGCCACAATGAGGGAAAAAAATTAAAAAAGTGCAATACAAATAAAATCTCTTATTTTTTGGGATTTTATATAATTGTTTATTATTAGAAATTTTTTTGTATAGAACCTTAATTCCTAGTATTATTTCTGGGTAGATTCTCTTTCCGTTTTTCTTTCAAGCGGCATAAAAAAAACTTCGAAAGATATCATCGTACCCCCTCATCACTTATCTCCATCTTTTATTGACTTTGATCATAAAAATTAACCTTAACAAATTTTTTTATACCATTTCAACTCAATTTTTTTTAATAGGTGGGAAAGGAAAAAAAAAAAGGGGTTAAAATTTTTTTTTGGATGAAACGATATAAAAAGATTTATTGGGGCTAATTTTTATGGTCAAAAGTCAATAAGAGGGAGAAAAGAGATGAGGGGTACAGTTAAATCTTTAGGGATTTCTTTATGCTTTTTGAAAGAAAAACGGAAAGAGGGTCTACCATGAAATAATATAAGGAATTAAGGTTCTGAACGAAATTTTTCCTTATTATTATTACTTTTTAAATGCCTGATCGGTTCACGAAAACGACCTGAAACCAGAATTGACTACTGGCCGGTTCCGATCTAACCCAATCTAATCAGGTGGTTGGAATTTGAACTGCCCACTTTTTCCTAGACTGGTGTCTCTTCTTATTTGTATCCTTCCAATTTTTCTTTCAAAAACAAAAGTTTGGGTTCTCAATCTCTCACCTTCTTTCTTGGTATCTTTTTGTGTTTAATCTATATTTTTCCACTTCTGATTCATTCAAAATTTAGCTTTTATTCAATTTCTAGCTCGTTAAATCTTTTCATCGTTCCCGCTCTCTCGCACCCCCTCCCAGGGGGACCTGCCACGCTTCCTATCCTCTCTCTTTTCCACGTACCTTTTCTCTTTTAAACCACGTTTTCCCAGTTCTGATTCATTTAAAATCTTTTTCCTTTGAATTTAATCGGCAGCTTTTTAAGCTTGAAGATGTTGCAATGGGAATATGGATAGCAGAGTTGAAGAAGAAGGGTGCAGATATAAAATACGTGAATGACAAGAGGATATTCAATGAGGGGTGCGAGGATGGTTATGTTGTGGCTCATTATCAGGGGCCCAGGAACATGCTATGCCTTTGGAATAAGTTACAGGAAGGAAATCGTGCAAAGTGCTGTGATTGAGAGAGAGGGCATAGTATTGTTGTAGAGCAGGGGATTTGGCTAACAGGATTGAAATGGTTGGGGGTTGGGTTTGGTTTGGTTGGTGTGAGCATTCTTTGTTTTCTCGGCCTAGAAGTGTACCATATTTTCTGAGAGATTTTAGAGGGTGTAATTTGCGATCATAGAAATACATGTGTCGAGTCTAATTTGCCCTATATCTCTCTCTCTCTAAGTGCTAATAAAAGTGTAGCACACAAACTCTCTCTCTATTTTGTGAGAGCAGAGCCGATTAGAATTGCAATGTGCTACCACAATCTATTTTGGAAGTGCTAATAAATTGTAACTCTCTCTCTCATCAGTTTCTCCGCAAAACTTATGGTCACACACTACATTAGATTCCATGTTCTGAGACAAGTTGGTATTGTTAAAGATCCCGTACTCGGTAAAAGCCATGGCCAGGCAATCTTGAGAAAAAAAAAAAACACTCGTCTGATGAAGTGCTTTTAATTTATGGGCACATGAGCCACCGGTTAAAACAAGAACAAAGAGCATAATTGAGTTAGAGTGAGAGAGAAGCACATTGAACCGAGACGTAGGGAGAGGCAACCGGAGCAGGGAGAATAAAAAGAGGCAGCCACAGTTTTCAAAACATGAGGAAAGAGAGAGGGAGAATAAAAAGAGGCAGACACAGTTTTCAAAACATGAGGACAGAGAGAGAGAGAAAGTGGCAGAGAGGGAAAGAGAGAGGCAACCACAGTTGTCAAAACATGAGAGAGGGAGGCAACCATGAGAGATAAGAGGCAACCACAGTTTCTCAAAACATGAAAGAGATTGAGAGAGGCAACCACAGTTGCTGAACAAACGTTCTCACTCGTCCCTCACTCAAGCAGCCATGCACCCAACTCCATACCTCGTATTTGGAAATACAAAAAACAAGCCACTGCAAATGATCCCAACCATCACAGGGAACCCATCCATCACCACCTTCATATCCTTCTCACTCACTTTGGGAAGCAAGCAATCCACCACTCGATGATCCGAGAATGCAATCGAAACGAACACCAAAACCGACATGAGGGCGTGCAACAAGTCAACAAACCCTATTCGAAATCTCTCATCTTTGGGCACTTCAACAGGAACCCCACTCTTGAAAACTGAGAGCCCACTTGGTGTAACAAATCCATAGTACACCTTTCCATCTGAGGCCCTGAGACCAAGGTTTGAAAACAAAGAACACTCGTGTTATCTACATTTGAGAAGGGAAAGTATAAATTAGGACTGCTACATTTGGTATGGACGTATCAAAAAATCACTCTTGATCATCAAAACTTTCTCTCTCTCTCTCTCTCTCTCTCTTAACCATCAATTGACCAATTGACCCGTGATGACCCTTGTGATCATTCTTTTACCAAATGATTATAAGGGGAGTATACTCTCCCCATGCATTTTATGGCATAACGGGCGAGTGACCACTATTGTTACACTTGCGGTTATAACGCTTATTTCAAACTTGCCTGAAACTATCAGTGAAGTGGAAGAGGAAGCACGACGCAGCGCAAAGGCCAAGCAATGCATGGGTGGCTATTGTGCTAACATGGGTGCACTGCCCATCGTTCGATATCGTGGGCAGGAGCATCTCGAAGGTCAGGAGCGTGCCTGTAGGTAAGAAATTCACTAGCATGGATGTGCGTGCAAATGTCTTCTGCACTTTCTTTGCAATCGCTTGCCTCTTTCGCCCTCTTTGCGGAACTCCATCGTTATTGGGGTTGTCTTGGTTCATGGAGTCGTAAATTTTCACGGCCACTCCCGCTATCTCTTCCATCACGATTTGGGCAAATTCACCGGAAATTGCCCCACAGTAGCATGAAATGGCTCCAAATTCCAGGTGTCTGGTTTTTGCCACGGCAAAGTGGGTCGGATTCCAGTGAAATGGTGTCGAAATCCTGTGAGTTTGGAAGGAATTCAGTGGGAGAGGGGCGAGGAATGTTTTTGAGGGAACACCATTATATGGAGGAGAAGAGGGGATTTGTGATTTGAATTTGAAAAAGAGGGGGAGTTCCAACGAGTAGTAAGCGACTAATAACTAACAGTTGGTTAAGACTTGGAGACGTTTTCGTAGTTTCTTTTATGGAGAGAGGGTATATATAGGGATCATGAAGTCATACCACTTTTTAACTAGTATATGATTAAGGACGTCTTTTTTATATAGTGCCTAGGATTTATGGAAATAAAGTAAAGCCTCACTTTAAATTCTCGTCGAAGTACTCTAGGTATCGGAAACTTTTATGATGGCTCTAAAATCAATTTCCAACACCAACGATGAAATCTAAAACGCAAAAGATAGTAGAGATCTTATGGATCCATGAAAACATATTTTTTTTGGTAAAATGGATGGTCTAGATAATGTGTTACAACCTACATTATTTTTTAAAAAAAGTTTCAATAAGTTTGCAACCTTATTGAAATATAATTTTTGGTGAGTTTTGAAGTGAGGTTTTACTTGTTTTGATAGGGCTACATCCCTATTTAAATATTTTCCTATTATTAATAATAGTCTTTATTTTGTTGGGAAAAGTTTATATAGAGCCAAGGCTCTAAACATCATCTTGACATCAAGATGCATAGACATGAAAAAAAAAGATTTTCATGTTTTCATAGATCCGTTGAACAACACTTTTTGAAGCTTTAAACTTTAAATAAACATGAAAATATACTTAAGGCTATCACAAAGATTTCCGATATTGAAACCACATTTGTCGACACTATTTGAAGGTAGGCTCTAATTTGATTTTTTAGAGCCTAGGCTCTATACAAACCGCACCCTATTTTGTTTATATATTCTATTTTTGTGAGGGGACACAATTATTGTGGATGGATAGTGGATGCGTATCATGTAGTATATACCAGTAGTGTGTGGTATGGCTTTTTGTATTTACGGATTTACAAAACCTCGTTTGTGTATAATCCAGTTAAAAGTGGATCACGATAGAAGCTTATAATGTGTGTAAACTTTTTCTCCTGAGGAAGGCGTTTCTTAATGCTTAAAAAGAAAAAGCATTGAAAGCGTTTCATGTGACCCCTGATATCAGAGATGGCTGAGACGCTTTGAATTACAATGTTAGAAGTGTTGGATCTGATCCCACCGCTCAGAGTGTTTATTTTTACTCTTTATTCTATAAATCATTTTTCAAAGAAAATTGGGGAATATATAAGTATAACAAGGGCGCATATTATAAGAATAAAAAATATTTCTTGTGGTGAAAAATTATTAGAAGACCCCTTAAACTTTTAGGAATATTTTACTCATTTATTTTCATGAGTATTTATTTATTTATTTTTGCTAGAAGCGCCGCGCCCCAGTAAGGAGATGGTATGACCTAAATTTTGGCCAAAAAAATATTTTATAAAAAAAAATTAAAAATCAAACAATATTTTGACATGACATTGTGATATTAGCAAACCTTGCTGTCTATTTAAATCGAATAGCCAACAAATGGGGTCAAATATAATTTATGCGCGGTTTAGGTTACATAAACGGCTTTTCCTTATTTTAAATTATTTAAGGTACTAAATTCTATTTTCATTTTTAGCCCAAGAAGCCTTTTTCACCGTTTTACTTCTTCGTTTCACAAAAATTCTAAAAAGATTTCCCTTATTTGAGGGTGAGGTTTGTATAAGGTTGCCTCCTTATACTGCATAAGTTAGGCGCATCTGTAAAATTTATTTAGAGATGCCTTGTCGGTGTCGAAAATTTTATAATGGCTTCAAAATCTCTTTTTATCCTTAATTATAAAATTTAAAGTTTAAAAATAGTACAGATTGAGCAAATCAAGAAACATTTGAAAATCATAAAAATAGACGGTCCAGATAAACTTGTTACAAGATGTACTATTTGTTGGACTTGAAATTCTTTTTTTTTTTTTTTTCGTTTATATCCATTCATCTTAAGGTCGAGATGATCAGTTGGAGGGTTCTCCTACGATGAAAGACTCTTCACTAAAGGATTTTTGAGGTGTACCGTACTTCAACAATATAAGGTTGCAACCTTATATAAATTTTTTCCTTACTTAAAATAAGAAATTCTACTTTTAGTTTTAGCCCCAAAAAAACTACTTTTTCGCACTACCACTTCGTTTCACAAAATAATTGGGGGGTGTTTTTGCTCGGCAGAAGGCTGTTTTGGTGGGGCGGGTGGCGGTTTTCCAGTTAGAGTAGACGGAGAATTGGACTTGCAGGCCGTAAGTTGCCATTTTTCATGGCGAGTTGAATAAGGCAAGGGGACTACGCTTGGGATGAGATGGTAATGGAGCAATTAGATTGAGGAAATCACCTAACAATGGGTCATTGACCGTGTTTAGAGCTCAAAACAATTTCTTTAACCATTATTGGAGAAATTGATACATCCTGGATGTTTGACGACTGGGACTGTTCATGACTAGGGGTGGGAATGGGTCAGGTCGGGGCCGTGGGGTTAGAGGCTCGGGATGTTGGACCCTGACTCCGGTGAATTGGACCTGGACTCGTGTTGACCTTGGGTTTATAAATAAAAAATATACTATATATTTTATATTATATGCGTAATATTATTAAAATTGCATCTATACTAATATATAATATTATTAAAATTGCATCTATACTAATATTAAAATTGCATCTATACTAATATATAAGCTTTGTGGACCCTAACCTGACTCAGGTCGGGTCAAGATCAAATGGCCTTGGATCCGACCCGTCAAGTCCAAAAGTCCAAAATATGGGTCCAATTTTTTTAAAAAAACAATATTAAAATGCAACTCCCAATCCTTTTTTTAAAAAAATATTAAAAAAATGGTAACAAGTTATTGTTAGTACAATAAAAGAGCAGTGCTTCACATAAAATAGAAAAGAAAAGAGAAAAAAAGAAGGGAAAGCAGGGGAAAAAGAAGAAGAGAAAGAAAAACCAGAAAAAGTTTCCTAGCCACTTTTGCAAGAGCATCAGGATATCCATTTCATTCCCTATATATAAAATTGAAATGCATGTAAAATCAAATCCACAGCAAGTTTGATGCGCATGAAAATATTTCCCAACAAGTGAAGTGAAAAAACTCTTTCATATGATTAGATGTTTTTCCATATAAATTTATCCCACTGTATTTTGTCACACGAATTGACAGCCATTAGTGTGAAAATACTCACTCACCTAATCATAAAAAAGATCTTTTTTGTATGAAATTACTTCTCGAAAATTATTTAGCACCAGGGTTTTAAAAATCGGCGAGTCGAACAGGAGTCGCCCGGTTCGACTTGGGAACCGGCACAGCTCGTGCCGGTTCCAATACAAAACTGGGAATTTTTGTATGAAATTACTTCTCGAAAATTATTTAGCACCAGGGTTTTAAAAATCGGCGAGTCGAACCGGAGTCTCCCGGTCCGACTTGGGAACTGGCACAGCTTGTGCTGGTTCCGATACAAAATTGGGAACCGCCGGTTCCAATCCGGTTCTGTCCGGTTCTACCCGGTTCCCTCCCTGCACGCGTGCGACACGCACGCGTGCGATACGTGTAAAGTTACCCCAATATTTCTACACAAACATTTTAATTTATATTACATAGGTATTTATATATCAAAGTGGAATACCCATCTTTCGATGTGGGATAATTTCTAAACATCATTAAATGAAAAGGGAATTTAAATATATTCTATTAATCATCAAGTTATAACCACATATGGTGAGGTGGCGTGGTGATTAAGGCTTTTGCTTTTTTATGTGATGTCTCAACTTCGAGTCTCCCCTTGGGCGTTATTTTTTTGTGTTGTATAGTTTTTGTTGTATATATTGTATAAATATATTTGTAAATAATATAAAAAGCAGAAAAAAATGAAAAATAAAAAAGTTAATTTTTTGTATAGCAGTTAATTTTTGTTGTATATAGTGGTATAATTATTTTTTTAAATAATATGAAAGGCATAAAAAAATAAAACATAAAAATTTTATTCTATTTGAAATCTCCATCTTTCTACTAACAATCTCTTTCACTAAATTTATTATAGAAACCTAAAAAAATAACTTTTTGAAAAATTGAAGTGTTATTTCCAAAATTTGTACGCATTTTATTAATTTTTACATTGATAACCAAATCTTTTATTTTATTTATTAATTTTTACATTATAAATCATGTAATGTACTATTTTTCTTACAGTTGTCAATAATACATTTTAAATTAGATAATATTATAAAATATTTTTAATTTGTTATTATTTATCTAATAAAATAATTATAAAATGTAAACTAATAATTATAATTTCAGTATATAATATTATAATTAGTTAGGTTTTAATAATTTTAGATTATAGTTAGTTAGACTGTAATAATTTGGATTTTTTTAGCGGATTAGAGTTTTTCGCCAAAACGAGATTTTAATGGCCATTCTTTCATTGATTAGTCTACTCTTTATAATAGTCCACATATAATTATATATTTTATCTATGATAATTCTATGATTTTTCTTTTATGTGACGTAAATTTAATGGTTAACATAAGTTTATACAGGGAAAGAGCATCTCAATATTCATAAATTGATGAAAAAAATGAAAGTTAATAATGTAATACCTTCATTTCTTATTGGATTTTTAAAAAACAATATTTATAATGAATTTTAATAATTTTTTGAGATTTTTTTGAACCTTTAATTCGACCGATTCAGTCGATTCCCGATTCGAATTACCGATTCACCGATCCGGATCGATTTTTGAGATGCCCGATCCAAGTCACCGATCCGCTTTTTAAAACATCGGTTAGCACTCAACCTGACCACCCAAAATTTTAACCCAAACGTAATGCCTCATTTTGTTTCAATCCCAACTTCGATTTCCTTACGTACGCTTAACATATAGCAATTATTAGAAAGCCTTTTATATCTACCTAAATACGACAGATTCAATATTTAAGGCCCTAATTTGAAGGGAACAAATTATATAAACCGGTAAACTTACACTGTAGCATAAGTTGGTTGGGACCCACATTTTGGACATATGTTTTTAATTAGGCAATTACAGTCAGAAAAGGAAAATAAATTCGCACAAATGACTAAGTAAGAAAATAATTAGTATGTCATTTTTAGAAAACGTGGACCACCCATTTGACAGCCGAGGCTCTAAACAATCAAAGTAAAGCGCACCTTAAAATAGAGTCAAGAAATGTAGTTTTAATACTGAAAATCTTTGTGGTAGCTTTAAAATACATTTTTATCTCTAATGATAAAATTTAACGCTTAAAAAATAGTATAGATTGAGCAATCTATGAAAATTTCAAAATCTTGAAAATTGACAGTTCAAAAATGCCTTACAAGATGCACTATTTCCAAAACTCGAAATCTATATTTTTCTCATGTACATGTATTTTGATGTCAAGATGATCAATTTGAGGATATTTAGGCATCAAAATAACCTCTTATAGTAGAATTTTTTAGGTGTGCTCTAATTTGATTGTTTAGAGCCTTGGCTCTATAAACTTCTTCCTATGAGAAATTGACGCAACCCATTTTATTTATTGAATAAACAATGCTCAAAATTTCAGCAACAAAATATTCATCTATGCTTATACTATAGCACGAGCTTGCTATTTGTTTTAGCCAATAAGCTTGTAATATGAAATGGGTGAGGTTTATGTAAGGTGCCCGCCTTACAGGCTTATCTAAATTTTGACGGAAGATTTAGATCCGGTGTCAGAAATCTTACCATGGTTTGGAAATTTCACATTCAACCCATTATGAAATTAAAATTTCAAAAACAATGTTGCTTGAATAGATCGATAAACGCTTCAAAATATCGAAATAGACGGTCTAGATAACTTATTACAAGATGAACTATTTTAAGGACTTAAAATTCTTTTTTTTTTGTACCATACATCTCAATTTCAAGATGATTAGTTTTACAACTTCGAAACACTATTTTCTACTAGATTTTTGAGATGCACTTTATTTCTATAGCATAAGATTGCTATAAGATAGCATAAGATTGCAATCTTATATAAACTTTTTCCTCATGAAATTTTCTTTTCAATTTATCAGAAAAGCTCATCTAAGTCAAAAGCATTTTGTGTAGAAGAAGTGCGGTATCTCTTAAAAACTAATTAAAGAAATATAATTTTAAAAAAATTATATAAAAAATGGCTACTTTACTTGTAGAATTGAGTTTTCAGTATTCATTTGAATTTGACAGCATAAATTAGACAGTGTCTTACAACACATACCAAATTTTGGTATTGTCTTGAAAGATTTAATTAAGCAGCGAGAACCTCTCTTTTCAATCTTTTTCACAATAAAAAGACAAGGAAACGTGCTAAGTTATAGAATGAAATGGCTTACTCCAAAGTTCAAACCAATCCGCATCGACGCGAATGTGTATAAACAGTTGATGCGTCTCACTTTTTAACACGCATACTCCTTGTATTCTCTAAAATAAGCAAGTCAGCACCTATAGATTCATGTCGGATCATTGGATTGGCGATCTGGATCGATTTGAATCAACTATCCAGAAAAACAAAGCAAAAATTAGTATAAATGCCTCATGAACCTCTAGGAAGAGCTACTCCTAAACAAACCATGCTCTTGGACTCTTAACATGGGTACTGCACAATCCCACACAGTTAAAATGGCAATGGCACTGATGATTCTTTTGGTGTTAGAGAGAAGTGGAAAAGTGAGGTGCAGGGTTGTGTTATTTATATTTGGGGACTCTCTCACTGATGTTGGCAACAACAATTATCTGAATAGAACTTTGGCCAAAGCTAATTTCCCTAGGTATGGCATTGACATGGGAAATGGGAAACCAACCGGCAGGTTCACTAATGGTCGCACTGTGGCTGACATTGTGGGTAGGATCATCTCTCTCTCTCTCAATATGAAAACATTCACTAGACAGCTCTCAGTTTTGATTTTGAACGATATAATAATTAGTCTTACTATACTTCCCCTATTGTATGTAAGATACATATTTCTCAAATATAAAATGTATTAAAGTTGCCCAACTTTATTCAGCGAGTCGAATCATTCAAAAGTAGCTCACCAACCAATTGAAACAAGTGTTTTGATCAATCTTTTATGAAACTGAATTTGTTTTTAACCAGACTGGCCAAGATATTAGTTGTTGGTCTGACCCATCAGATAGACAATTGGATTGTGTCATGATAACTATGGTTCACAGTGATTACAACTCTACTAGACATCTCTTCTTTCAGTAATTTGATACGAGATATGTGAAAATATTCGCTTAGGAGGCTTTTGGTTTGAAAAATGATTACCAAAATAGGGCTCGTACTCTGTAACCTGGCAAAGTGCTCAGTCTCGATGACTATCCCCAAAAATCAGGTGATCCTGACATGAGTCATAAAGAATATATATATAGATAGGAAAAATGTTGCAACCTTAAAATTTAGAAGTACAGATGCACCTGAAAAATCCATCAGAAAGTTGTTTTAATTTTGAAAAACCCTCTGTTTGAACATCTCGAGATCGAGATGTATGAATATAAAAAAAAAAATTAGTTTTTGAGTCCCAAAAATAGTGCATCTTGCAACACATTATCTAGACTGTCCACTTTCAAGATTTTCGTATGTTTATATATCTCCTTGATTTGAACCAGTTTTGGAGTTTAAATTTTTTTAATTAGATATGAAAATAGATTTTAAGATGATCCTAAGAAGTTTTTACAACAAAATTACATGTTATGATAAATTTTGGAGGTGCTTCTTAATTGGATTGTTTAAGGTTGCAACCTTGTAGAAACCGCACCCATATATATATATATATATATATATATATATAGTTTTCTTCTAGACTCGGCAGAGTTGATTTTGACTCGGGCTTGGAACACTTGAGAATCAGTGTACAAGCTCGTGTTTTTAAGCACTGGCTTTTTACAGATGATATTGCAATGTAGACAAATTCACTCTCAAGAAGTAGTAGATTAATTGATAAAAGTTGGTAGATTATTTACAAACCGACCAACAGTTTAAATGAATGAATGTGCAACCAAGTTTTTCTAAGATCATGATGAATGTAACCTTGAGAGCCTACAATATCACTTTCTCATTCTCTCTCCTAAGTTTATACAAGGGATCTCTCTTTTCTTAAGCCATGTAATTCACAAACATATATTTCATGACTATACCCCTGTAATTTTGGTGACATACTACTGGCAATCTTTTAGAAGTCGGACTCAATTTTGGATTTGCTAAGGGCCCAAGCCCGAGCCACCCCAGTCGTACTCAGGCGAGTCAGAGTTGGATCTGGTGGTTTTAATGTGAAAAATGTAAAACCTATGGAAATGTAGGAGATCAGGGAGATTCCATGGTTTTCCTCGCCCATGATCGCCTAGCTCCCGATCTACGGCAACTGGGCAAGTTCCAATTAGGCTTGGCAATTTCTTAAACATTGCTAATAGTTTTGTGTCCAAGCTATTTTGCTGCTTGTGTTTGCTGATTCTTTGCATTTTGTAGGTGATAAAATGGGTCTCCCTAGACCACCTGCTTTTTTAGATCCATCTTCAACAACTGATGTCATACTGAAAAATGGAGCAAATTATGCCTCTGGTGGAGGTGGGATCCTAAATGAAACTGGAGAGTTCTTTGTAAGTACAAGCATGAAAGACTCTATGCAAAGACAACATGTTTCATATAAATGTTTTTCTTGTCCAAAAACATTGCGAAAAGAATTACCTGTTTTTGTTCAATGTCTTGCATTTTGTAGGTGCAAAGGCTATCTTTCTACAAACAAATTGAGCTATTTCAAGGCACTAGAGAAATGATTGTAAGAAGTATTGGAAGTGATGAGGCAGATGTGTTCCTTAAAAATGCAGACTTTGTGGTTGCTATGGGGAGCAATGACTTTCTCAACAACTTCTTGCTTCCAATTTATGATGACTATTGGACATACAATGCAGATGAATTCACCAACTACTCGATGACAATACTAGAGAAACAACTAATTGTTAGTGTAGCATATGGAATAGCTCTTTCCTCTATACTAGCATATGAAACAACTACTCTTTAATTTTTTATTTTTTTATTTTTATTTATCTTGAGTGGGAATGTGGCGGGATTGGATCCCTTGATGTTGGACTGTGGTTTCAATGCCTTAACCACTAAGCCAAGAGGCCCCTATTCCTCCTTTCAAGAAATTTTGAGCATAGTTATTAGAACTGGACCAGATATGCCAGTCCAACAGGTCAGACCACTGATGAGACCCTATACCAGTTAAAGCTAGCTAAAACACTAGATCTTGGAGACACATTTAATTTAGAAAAATCTGTAATTATATTTTTGTGTTTTTACTGGTTTTCATTAGTCCAACTAATTTGATAACTGGCTCAACCTCTAATTGAACCCGAGAGAATACTTTGTCATTTTGCTATTCAGTCTGGTTCTAATAACATTGATTTTGAGCAACATAGAATCCAGACTGATTGCTCTATATTCCTATCTTTCTAGTTAGGGGTGGCAATGGGCTGGGTTGGCCGGCCTAGTCCTATCAGTATCCCCTAAAGAAAGTAGGGCCTAGGCCACAAAATGTCACATGAGGGCCAGGCTGTTTGGCCCAATGGTATGGCCGCGCCTGGGCAAGGGCCATGACAGGGCTGCCCGGGTTATGCTCTGTTCCTTTAGTTTTTGTTTTATTTTAGACTTCGATTTTGTTTGGCCCTTGTAGGGCTAAGGCCTCTTTGGTCCAGTTCAAGATGGCGGGCCTATGCGAGCCCTATGGGGACAAGGGCTGGGCTAGGGGTAGGAGTGGCCTAACCCGATGCCAATCCTACCCTCAATTGGTGAGGCCTTTGAAAATTTTGAGCTTGATACCTTCTGATTTTATCTCAAAAGTGTTCTAGTGATGTGCCATTTAACTATAGTTTGGAAGTTGCAGCTATTGCATAGCAAGGGAGCAAGACGAATCACATTTATTGGTGTTGGACCTTTGGGTTGTATTCCTCTTGCACGCATCATCAGCCTCTTTGGTGGATGCCAAGAATATGTGAACAACATAGTCATGAAATTCAATAATGCAGCTAACCAGCTCTTACAAGCTTTATCAACACGTTTGAGTAACTCAACCTTCATATTTAGTGATGCATATACTATCGTATTGGAAATAATTGACAATCCTCACAAATATGGTAAGCTACATGGATTATCATTAAACTCAAAAATAACTGAAGACTGGCTTGTCTTCTCTATATGTCATCAATATTTATCTCATCAATTTTTTAGAAGGAAAATTTGGTGACTTTTTTTTATTGTAAAGTTTGAGGGTTTCTTTTTAAAGATAAAAGAAATATCATAGTTCTAATGTTTTGTGTGGATGTAATTAGGGTTTGATGACTCAAAGACTCCATGTTGCACTGTTGGGGTAATTCGACCAACTTTTACATGTCTTCCAATGTCGAGCCTATGCAAAGATAGAAGGAAATATGTATTTTGGGATGAGTTTCATCCATCTGATGCAGCTAATGAGATAATTGCTTATCAAATTATGTCAAACCTTTGATAAGAGCTTCTTATTCTTCCATTGTATGGAGTATATGCTTATGTAGACTTGTTTGAGTTGCATATACTAGTCTTGTGCTTGATGTATAAAACTGTCCTCTCAAAGGGTTATTCTATGTAATTAATTAGTATTTTATTAATGGGAGCTCTCCCCCATTGATTTACCAAAATAAAAAAAAGAAAGAAAGAGGGGAAGTATTTTGCAGGACCTTAGCTTTATAAAGTTGTAGCTTTCAAGAAAATAGAGCTCGGTGACATTAGCAATGATAGACATAAAAAAAGGTGGATGCCAAGATCGAAAAATGATCTATCATGTAAAATCTTTTTTGGACCATCAATTTCAAGCTCCATTAATCCGCCGGATCCACACCATTTTGAGGGCTTAAATTCTATAATCAAAAGAAGAAATAGATTTTCAAGCTGTTTCTAGCACCTGTTTTGCATTTCGTAGCGCCCCCCAAACAGCAACTGACGACCCCCCCCCCCCTCCCCCCCCCAAAAAAAAAAAAACCACAATGTCACGTCGCTATTTTATTTATAATATATTCTATAAACTATTTTGACACCAAATTCTGTAGGTCCTATCTTCTATTAAACTAGCACTAGCAAAAAATATAAAAACAATATTTTCAATAAAATAAAATGACCAAAATACCTTTGAAAGTTTCAAGCGGTATTTTGATCGTTATATTATTATATTTTATCGAAAAATTATTTTTAATATTTTTTATAGGTGTGTCTCAATGAGAAGATGACACATACTAAATTTCATATTCATACAATTTGTATAAAAAAAACTAAAAAAAAAATACTTTGCGATGTTGGATCTAAGATCAAACGGTGAATAGCTTTCTCGATCAAAATTGGACGGTTGGATGATAGGGAAACATAGATCTTCTATACACTGTAGGGGAAATATAAAAACCTTTCCCTTATACCAACAAAAAGATTTGGTGAGTGGGGATCTTTTTCACCTTGCCATGGGCAAAAGATTGGTTTTTAAAAGACGGACCATTGGCCATTTAGCTATTTTAATAATCTTTTTACTTAAACTGATTGGAAAAGGACTTGAAAAGACAAAAAGAGGAATGCGTGTTTAAGTAAGAAATATCATCCTATTCTCCTTCTTTTCATTGGAATTCTAGGCATATTTAAACCCCTATGTCCTTTTGTTAGCTTTGAGTGATGGGAGAAAAATGATTAAGCTAATGCTTATGGAAAATCCAT